TGTTTATTGGTCTTCCCAATTATTAGCATGTTATCAGATGAATGGCGTCCTGGGGTAAACCTTGTAAAACATTCCCCATCATCTGCTGAAAAATAGCACAGGCTGATGATTCCCCAAAAGGCAGTCTCATATACTGATATAAACACTTATGGGTATTAATTGTAGCATACTTCTGGGAATCCTCAGCAAATCACAGTTGCAGTTACGTAGGGTTCATGTCCAGCTTCATGAAAGACAGCCCACCCACCACGCCAGATTTGCTTAAGTCCTCTATGCGATGTATTGGGTATTTATTCAGCTGCAAAAAGTGGTTTACTGTTTGTTTGAAATCCTCAGAAAGGTGAACCGACTCATTGGGCTTCACAATTGGTACAATTGGTGCTGCCCATTCTGCAAACTGTACTGGTTTGATGATTCCTTCGCTTTCCAGCCTCCTGATTTCTGCCTCTACTTTTGCATGTAAGGCAAATGGCACCGGGTAGACCTTGCAGAATTGTGGAATTGCTTCTTGGTCAACATAGAATCATAGAATCCCTACAGTATGGAAACAGGCCATTCGGCCCAACAAGTCTACACCGCCCCTCTGAACAGCATCACACCCAGACCCATCCCCCTGTAACCCACCTAATCTACACATCCCTGAATACTATGGGCAATTTAGCATAGCCAATCCACCTACCATGCACATATTTGGACTGTGGGAGGAAACCGGAGCACCCAGAGGAAACCCACGCAGACACGGGGAGAATGTGCGAACTCCACACAGACAGTCGGAATTGAGCCTGGGTTGCTGGTGCTGTGAGGGAGCAGTGCTAACCACTGAGAGACCATGCCATCCCTAAATTAGATAATAGAATCATAGAATCCCTACAGTGTGGAAACAGGCCCTTCAGCCAAACAAGCCCACGCCGTCCCTCGGAGCATCCCACCGAGACCCATCCCCCTACAACCCACCTAATCTACACATCCCTGAACACTATGGGCATGGCCAATCCACTTAGCTCGCACCTGGGAGGAAACCGGAGCACCCGGAGGAAGCCCACGCAGACATGGGGAGAACGTGCAAACTCCACACAGACAGTCGCCCGGACTTGGAATCAAACCCGGGTCCCTGGCGCTGTAAGGCAGCAGTGTTAACCACTGATCACCCCCCAAGGTGACGGTCACATGTAAGGTGACATTGGCCCCTTTGATAGTCCCTAGACCTTCCTGGAAAACTTTCAGGTATTTAATTAGGCATTCACTCAGGCAGCCATTTTCTTATTGAAAAATGTTGAGCCAATCAAACTGAATCTTTCTCAACCAATTTCACACAATCAAGCTTGGGCCTGAACCTTCTGCCACAATCAGTGGTAACTGAATCAGCTACTTCTCATAAGAGACCGGAACCGAGCGTATACCCTTAATCTGTAGAAGTTCTCCTGTATAGGCTCTCAGCCTGGTCGAGGTCTTACAGGTTGGAGTGTAGAGTGAATTTTGGTGAAGACTGCGATCACTGATACAGCTGCGCCAGTATTGACCTCCAGTAGAACTCAGTGATAATTTAACCAGACGTTTATTTTGATTGGTTCTGATTTGGATGTTGCTAAGCAATTTAACTATTCTAAACCAGTTGTAGGTGGACTTTCCAAAGTGTGCACTCTCCTGGATACCAGCCTATGAGTTATCTTACTCAATTCAGGCCTAGTGAGACTCTTTTGCTGTCTCAAGTCTGCATACCAACAACAACAACAATGGCCTGCAGGCATTTTTGACCAAGGCTTGGCTTCATTTGGGGTTTTGCTGTGGGCTGACTTACAGTTCCTCTGTTCAGAATATATCCTGAGTAAGGCTATGCAATTGCTTTCACTCAAGTGATGTCCCCCAAACTCAGTCAGCCTGGCATGGGTGTCCACTTCCATCAGAATACCATGTAACTCATATTCTCCACTTGCTGCATTTTCTAATGATGAAGCCGGTTGTAGTACCTATTTGAGGTTCAGTTGGGCTTCAGCTAGTAGGTGGTTTTCCATTATCACATCATTAGTCCCACATACTAAATGGTCTCGTAAGCTTTGTCCCTTTGTTTGAATATGTTTATTTTTGGGAATAAATCAGTTAATTTGTTGCTGAACAAAGAAACTTGGCTGATTTGCTCTTAATACTGTACCTGATACAATCTGAGACCTATATAGTTGGCTGTATCCCTAACGCGATTAATTTAATATTGGTTGTGCCCAGTGAGGTGTGAAACTAGGTAAAGAAACAGTGCAACCTGGATTGTAACAGATCCATTATTAAGAGTTAAGGATTCATCTGAAACATATTTGTTGGAATCTTAAACCCAATGTTCTGACTCTGTGAAGTCTTTTTTTGGGATGTCCTGAAAAATGAAACATGATATATAATTATAAATTTGCTTTTCTTTTATGAAAACACAGTTACTTAGCTTGACAGAAGGTAATGAAATTTGGTTTGCAAAGTTTTAATCAGTCGTACACTGATATTATTTAATATTTATGTTGTTACAGCTAATGCATTCTCATTTTCAACAGAAGTTTTGCTGGTGCAAAAGAAATTCAAAAAATCTGAATTTCAGCACACAAGGAATATCCATCAGGTTTCTGCCTTATTAAGCAATCAAAATGTTGGGACAGTATATTGAAGGAAAATCAGCTCTACTGATACTGCACTGCTATCTCATTTTAAAATGTCATAAGCTTTATCTGCAATTTGTAGTCAAAGTTTTACCCCTAGTAGTATTTATCCTTCTGGTGTAGGGGATAAGAAACTATGAGAGGACTTAGTCAATTCAGTGAACCAATTACAGGAACAAGCTTTGTGGTCACCCATGGGTCACCAAAATATAAACTCACAACCTGGTTTTATCAAAAATGAAGATTTACTTGTGGGCCTGATTTTCTGCAAAGAAGGTAACTAATATCTAATGATGTCCAAAATGCCCACATGTAACCAAGGCAAATTCACGATACACAAAAACCTTTGTGCTAGAAAGACATAACCCATCTGCAAAATGACTGTAAAAACTGTGCACTTCATTTGCAGCAAGATGGCCTTCCTGCATATTTGAGGCTATTATCATTGCTGAAAACCTCAGCCATTATTTCCACGTATGCCTTAATTGACACAATGTATTGTATGAAGCAGTTCATATTTCTTTTCATGTAATTTCTGACCCAACTATGTCAAATACTTTAAAAACAGAAGTAGCATTTCTGAGTACAAAGACCTTCACTGGAGCAATGCTATTCTGACCCTTTATAACGTGTAACTGCGGCATTGCAAATTACTTTAATGGTGTGAGAACCCTCCCAGAAACTGGACTTGCATTCCTTTAATTCTGGTCTCCTATGCAACATCTATCACCCTCATTGTGCATCGGTAGCCGAGTTTTCAGTCATCAAGGCCTTAAGCTCTAGAATTCCATCTCCAACCCTGTGTACCCTCTCTCCTTTTAGAGGCCCTTTCCAACATAAATCATTGGTTAAGCTGTATTGCCACCCTTCCAATGTCCCTTTCTTTGGTTTTGTGTAGCTGTTTTTTTGTTGGATTATGCTCCTGAGAAACACCTTGCGACATTTTTTGTTTTAAAAATTATGGTCGCAATACAAATACAAATTATTGTTGGTTGCACATAGTACTAAGTTGTACTTCATTGAAATTTCAAAATGCAGCACAGGCTCAAAATACTGGACGCCATGTTTTTACACATTAACATTTATTGTTTTTCACTCCCCTTTGGATTAAAAATTTTCAAAGTTTGAACTTCAATACAGTCAAGAGTGTATTATTATATCTCTTCTGATGATTAACATGCTATGTTGTTAAAAAACCCAGTTTTATTAAAATGACTTTATTGAGTGGTTTTGAAACCACTAAATAAAAGACTGAACAGCAGCATTTGAAATGACTAAAGGCAGTAGCTTCTAAGATTGCCAAACATTTCCATAGCCATATCCTCTATTAGCCCACAATCAGCCTCTCTTGAAGGAATGCACCAAAGACAATCAACTAGATTGCCTGGTCCAGGAGATGGGTCAATCATGTTCACAAAAAATTTCCAGAAATCATCTGTGTATTCTGCTGACCACAGATAAAGCTATTAGATGCTTGCTGAGAAGGGAACCTACCAACTATAGTCTCATCTTTTCCAAACTATGGACTTGAAATCAGCTTGCCATGAGCATATTTGGGTAATTAATCAGCATGTGACAAGAGATCATCTGATGATCCAAACCCCACTTTGTGTTTTAAGCTGCTTTTCTCTGAGCCAGTCAGAAGAAGGGCGACAGTCTGGTCTGGGACCAGCAAAGCCCTGAATGGGCACTGCTTTGTTGGAACAATCTTGCAAAATTGTGGCCTCCCTGATGCTTGACCAGCTTTACATAGTAGGCAGCAGCATTCCCTCTAATTCTTTTTCTTCTGTCTGGGCCTCCAAGATCTGTGGGCGGCAGCAAGCTCTGGAACCAAAAATCAATGCTGTAATGCACGTTGGCATCTGGATCACTGCACCAAACACTGGAGCAGCAGCGCACAAGCACAGCTCAGAGGGAACACTGATAGGCATCTTTAAAGTTTAGCCTAGCAGTTGCTGACTCTAAAAGAAAAGACGTAGACAGACAAGCTAGCCCAGTCTGAAACCATCCAAGTTAACAATTTATAGCATCCATTCATAACTGGCTTTCTTTTAAATGCTTAAAATATGTAACTTACTGAGATACCTCCGCAGAGGGCAGTATCCTGTCAGGAAGTCACCCTTTATTTACACATGCACAGTACATGGGCTCTGACCAGCCAGCTCACAGCTAGTCCCTAGAATGAAAAGAATCTCTGAGACTTCTGTTTATATCTGTCAGCCAAGACTCCCTGATTGGCTCAGGCTAACTCAATCAGAGATCTCATACTCAATAAGATCCATCTGGCCCTCATACCAATCACTACATCTACACTTTCACTTTGCCACTTATTGTGTGTGTGCGCATAAAAATTGAACGCATATGAGAATTGAAACAATTTTTAATCATGTCCATGGAATAGCTGTCAAGTACAATAATTTTTTCCCCTTTTTTAACTGTACAAGGAAATTGGTGTCTTTTACAGTCACAGCATGTGAAATAGTTAAACACTCACTGAACTGGCAAATTCCAAAAGAAAATCTGTTGCAGCCAACCAGATTAGAGAAAACAAACAACTAGTCTACCACTGATCACCTGACTCTTAGCAGAATTTTTAGCAATTTTGTACTTCTATTTCTAATTTACAGTAAATTGCTATATATCATACATTTTGAAGTTACTCTTGTGATCTAAATTTTCAACAAATCTTAATTTAGTCAACATAATATCACTTCAAAACTGAGATCTACATCCTTTTCTTGTAACTTTGAGTTCTGTTATTGTGGTTGACTGTCCCTCAATTTGAGGATGATGCCAACTCTAGGTCACAGGTTTCTGTGATGGGTCATTGTGAGATTGTAAATCATTTCTCAAACCAGATCTTTGGAGACAGAGAGCAGAAATATTAGACAACCAATGGATTTGTGAAACTGAGGAAACGAAAGACTTAGTAATAGAAAGAGGAATTACTTGAAAAGTTAACCAGATTGAGGATGATAATTTTCCTGGAATAAATGAGCTTCATTCCATCATGATCAAGGTGATTATCGAAATTGTGGTTGCATTGGTGGTTATTTTTCAAAGTTCTATAGATTCTTGAAAACTGTAAATGTAACCCCAATATTTATGGGATGGAGAGGAAGAATGGGGAACTACAGATGTGTTAGTTTGACATCAGTAGTAATGAAAATATCAATCACAAAGATTGTGATAACTGGACATTTATTAAAAAAAAGTAAAAATGGCAGAGTCAACACAGATTTCTGAAAAGTAAATTATATTTGACAAATCTGTTGGAACTTTTTGAGGATATTACTGAAAGAAGAGAAAAAGGTGAACCATTGGATGTGGTGTATTTGGATTTTTTAGATTATAAGATCCCAGACAAGAGGTTAGTAAACAAAAGTAGTGCATAAGATTGGGATTATATTATTGATTGAGAATTGGTTAATAAGCCAATTCCTACTCCAGTGGGAATGTTATGAACAAAAACAGAAGTTGCTGGAAAAACTTAGAGGGTCTGGCAGCATCTGTGAAGAAAAAAAATCAGAGTTAACGTTTCGGGTCTGGTGATCCTTCCTCAGATGGCCAGCTCATCGGGCAGCAGCAGTACATGTGGTCTGGATCTCCCAGGAACTGATGGTATTCCACTTGTTGTAATGGGGCAGGCAGGAAGCTTCCCCCTCAAAAATATCATTGACAAATGAGTTCATGATGCTCCTTGGCCTTGGAGGAGATTTTGGTGTCAGGGTGAGCCTGCTTCATTGCTTTGTAGATGTAGATGGAGTAACTTTCCTTCCTGGAATTTCTCCTCTTCTTGCCACTCTTTGCTGGCAGCTTCTCGATGATTATCTTTGCGCCCTTGGAAGTTTGCTGTATTTTCTTCTCATTAGCCATAGTGACTAGCAGAGATCATTGTTATCAAAAATGTACTGCTATAGCTTGTATAAGGCTAAGCTGAGGCAGCTGATCCGTGATCTCTTTTTGATGGTGAATTTTGGGGGCATTCTTGTGGCACAGTGGAACCGGGAGGCCCAGGTTTAAATCTCATCTGCTTCAGAGTGTGTAATAATATCTCCAAACAAGTTGTTTAGAAAAACTATGGTGATCTTTTGGGAGATGTGGTTGCTAAGGCACAGAAAGTGCTCACCATATTCCAGAGTTGTCTTCAACTTATATGGCAGGTAGAATAGTTAACTGATCCGGTGTGGGCTGATCTGGGATAAAAACCAAAAGAACTGCAGATGCTGTAAATCAGGAACAAAAACAGAAGTTGCCAGAAAAGCTCAGCAGGTCTGGCAGCATCTGTGAAGAAAAAAAGTCAGAGTTAACGTTTTGGGTCCAGTGACCCTTCCTCAGAACTGATATTAGCTGGGAAAACGTCAGTTTATATGCAGAAAATAGGGAGAGGGATGGGGTAGGGAGTAAACGATAGGATAGAGCCTAAAGAGACAGAAGAACAGTTGGACAGACAAAGGAATTGATAATGATCCGGCTGGGAGGGTGAATAGTTGTTAATGGGGACTGTTAGTGTCTAACAACAGGTGGTGTGTTATGGCAGGCTATATAAATAACAAGGCCTGTCATATGGGGTAAGGGGCTGGGACATGGGAGAGTTTAGGCCCTAAAATTATTGAACTCGATATTGAGTCCGAAAGGCTGCAGGGTCCCCAAGCGGAAAATGAGGTGTTGTTCTTCCGGCTTGCGTTGAGCTTCGCTGTAACACTGCAGCAAGCCAGAGACAGAGATGTTGGCCAGTGAACAGGTTGGTGTGTTAAAGTGGCAGGCTACAGGTAGCTCAGGGGGCTGATACGAGGACAAGGTGACACTTCATGTATGCAGAATTGCTGAGCTGTTTTGTACAACTGGGGAGTTGCGGCAACATCCAGTCCGGATGGCAAACCGACACCTTGGACTAACATCTCTAAATAGGTTGATTAGAAAAGTATGTTTAAAAAAAAACGGGCGTCAAGCCCTTGAGCTGCACCCACATTTTCGGACGAGACCAAATACGCTATGCACTTGGATCGAGCGCTTACCTACATAAAGCTAATCTTCTCATAGCTTAAAGCATGGTGCACAATGATAGGTTATTTCGAAGTATGGACCACGAGTGCCCCCACTTGCTTAGTCCATCGTATGTCAGCAGTACCTGTTGATGTGGAGTGAGCAGCGGGACAGGACGCCCCCTCCCCGCGAATCCTCCCGGGCAGCAGCAGCTAACGGCCGAGCCCGCGCCACCAACCGCCCTGCCTTCGAAATGCCCCTGCCAGTTGATTGGGCGCTGTACCTGTGACTGACAGCAACATCCACCACTCACACAACGCACCTCCATCCAGGAGTGGGCCGATCCTATAGCACAGCCAATCAATTCTTTTGCTTCAGTCGGAAATTCCGTTGAGGCGCTGCTGTCAGCTGGAGGTGTCAGTAAAAGATAAAGTTGCCGTTACAGTGTGAAGCGGAGTTTCCCTGTCGCAGTGCTGATTTGATAATTTATTTACTAAATCAATTACTAAAAAGTTAGTGTGTGTCTTGAATTGAAGTTGTTTAAAGTGTCACTTGCAAGAATCTTGTGGGCAGTTTAATGAAGCCAGAAGAGAGCGGTGGAATCATGCTGTTGCTGTCAGATATCTTTCAGGAGACACCTTGATTTGGTCGAATACCCTCTCATCGTTGGCGTATAAACTGGCTTGAAGATGCCTTTCGGGTACAATCGGGAGACAACAGTTAAGATGAAATCTGGGAAGGCTTCTAAGGTAAGAAGTGCTGACAATCGTTGCAAACATTTGTTAGAGTAACCAGGAAAGTTGAATCAAACAGGAATTGCTGGATAAACTCAGTGGGTCTGGCAGTATCTGTGGAAGAAAAGAGCTAATGTTTTGAATTCAGTGACCCTTCTTTAGAACATTGTTTTCTGTTCACAGATGCTACCAGTCCTGCTGAGCTTCTCCAGTTTCTGTTGTGTACTTGTTGGTGAGCTGTGTGATTTCTAACATGATTTTGGTTTGAGGGTACTATGTACTAATTTAAATTCAATCCGTTAGAATGATAGGATTTTTTGGATCTGATTACATGTTTGCACAGTTAGTTTGTTGTTTTTTTTTGATTGTTTGGGAGATAACATGCATGTTAACAGTCGTCTCTAATGTGAAACTTGAGGACTCGGATTCATGACTTGTGTAATATTTGGACTGAGAATTTTACAGTACTTGGGAGATTGCATTTGTCTAAGATTACATTTCAGAGATGGATGATACATTAAATAAATACTTATTTCAAATCCAGGCAAGAATATCTGAATGATTCCGAGTGGCCATATGTGCCCAACATTTAATCCTCCCACTAACACCAAGATATTCACTGGTTGTTGACTGAATTGCTTTGTGCAGACTAAAACTAAAACACAGAGGATGACCACAAGACATAGCAGCCAAAATTAGGCTATTCAGCCCATCCAGTCTGGTCCGCTATTCAGTCATGGCTGATAAGTTTCTCAACCCAGTTCTCCCTCTTTCTCCCCATAACCCTTGATCCCCTTGACATCAAGAACCTATCTATTTCTGTCTTAAATATACTGAATGACCTAGCCTCCACAGCCTTCTGTGGCGGTGAATTCCATGCTGGAGTTCAAAAATAAAAACAAAGTGTTGGAGAACCCTAGAGAGCCTAGCAGCAACTACGGAGAAAGAAATGAACATTAGATAATGTTTAGAATTCAATACAAATAATCTTCAGAACTGTTATGAAGAAGAGTTATGTCAGACTCAAACATTTAATTAAGTTTTTCTGCACAGGTGCTGCCAGACCTGCTGAACTTTTCCAGTACTTTTTTGTTTTTATTGCTAATGTGTGGTGCATTGCTATTGCTGCTATGCAGCTTGCATTTGTTTGTATTAATAACATTGCCAAAGTATATTGCTAACTGTGAAGTCGTTTGGAACACCCCCGGGGTTGTAAAATGCCACATGCAGAATGTATTCTTCATATCTATTGACTAGATGGTGGTGGAGTTCCCATGAATCAGCTGCCCTTGTCCTTCTAGGTGGTGGAGGTTGTGGGCTTGGAAGAGACTATTTAATACGTTAAGAGAGGAATAACACTTAAGAGATAGTCACATTATTCTCATCCATCACCAACTCACTACCTGAGGCGTAGGGAATGAGAAGAAGAAAAACTTTGAACATAAGCACTCAGAACAACGTGTAGTTGTGGAGAAATTTGAGCCAATTTTCGAATAGAAGCTTGTATTTGTATAATATGTTTATTTCCTGTGGCACTTCAAACAACTTTGCAAACTTAGCTATATCAACAGCTGTTCCAACAAGTGAGTTTGGTCAAAAATCATAGAATCCCTACCATGCAGAAAGAGGTCATTTGGCCTATTCTGCACCAACTGTCCTAAGAGCCTCCCTCTGAGACCCAGAACCCCACCATATCCCCATAACCCCACACTTACCATGGCTAATCCACCTAGCCTACACGTCCTGGATGCTACAGTGCAATTTAGCATGCTCAATCTGCTGCCTAATTTGGACTGTGGGAGGAAACTGGAGCACCTGGCAGAAACCCACGCAGACACTGGGAGAATGTGCAAATTCCACATAGACAGTCAACCGAGGTTGGAATCAAACCTGGGATCATGGTGTTGTGAGGCAGCAGTGCTAACCACTGTGCCATGCTTAAAGTAGCCTTCAAAAAGAATATTAAAGATGGTTAGAGAGGGAGAGGTTTAAGAAGGGCAAACCTGATGTTGGTGTCAAGGCCAAACATTTCCCCACTATTATCCCATTTCGAGTCTTGGATGTTGTGGCATCCCTTCAGTTAGAATTAGGGGGAGATCTCTTAAAACACGGGACAGCCCTTAAAACTCTGCCAAAGTTCCCACAATGGCTATTGTGCCTTAGAGCATGTGACCCCACTTGAGGTCCTGCCCCCACCATTTTGGGAAGCCCTGGACGAGGAGGTTGAGTGATTAAAATCGAGGATATGCATCATGTCAGGGACACTGAGATCTGAAGTTAAGGAAGGAGGTTTGAGGTAGAGAAATACCAGATGGTGTTTAAAAACTAAGATTAGAATTTTTAACATTGTGGTATTGCAGGAATAGGAGCCAATACCTGTGGGATAAATGAAAAACTCTTAACAAAACCTTTGAATGTGTATCAATGCCATCTGTACAAAAAAATTATTCATGGAGAGATAATGAACAACCTGCCATAGAATGGCAGAGGCAAATAAGGCAGATACTGGTAATCTGAACTAAAAACACACAAATGATGGAAATATTCTGAAGGTTTGGCAGCATCTGTATTTTCAGACACTGACCTTTCCACTGGCACAGAAATGTAAGGGGGGGTAATCTGTTATAAACAGATGAAATAAGGGAGAGGTGCAGAAGAACAAAAAGGAAGGTGTATGGCAGGACAGAAGACTGGAGATATTATTTGGCAAAAGAGCTGATGGTATAGGGCCAAAAGGAATGGTGATAGGATCAATAAAGAAATAAAAAGAAATGTCCAGAGGAGGTGTGAATGACAGTAAGATGAGCTGCTGTCCAAAAGATTGGAACCTTATACAGCCTTTTTCATGATATGTTAGCCATCTAGTGTTCTACATTCAGTCACTACTTTTGAACTGCCGTCACTGGTTTCCTTCATGAAACCAATGTCCCGTCCACTCAATCATGCTCAACAATCCTTTCCCTTCTATGGTACCATTCCATGAAAGTGCTATCCTCATTGATATGTAATTCAGTTTTTCACCCTCAAATTGAATTGTGAAATTAATTCATTGTTTTTATAATTATTGCTCCCCAGAGGATCCTTTCATTCTGTTTTATTACCCATTTGCAAATATAAAATGGCCTGTTCCCTGTTTGGTTCCATAACCCATTGTATTCAGGAGTGTTTCTTTAGAACAGTTAATGAACCCCTCCAGGCTACTTCTGCCAATTTGATTCAATGTCTTTGCATATTAAAGTCACGTATAGTTATTGCAGACAACAAGGTGCAGGGCTGGATGAACACAGCAGGCCAAGCAGCATCATAGGAGCAGAGAGGCTGACGTTTCGGGCCTAGACCCTTCATCAGAAAAGGGGGAGGGGAAGGGGGTTTTGAAATAAATAGGGAGAGAGTGGGAGGCGGATAGAAGAGGGATAGAGGAGAGGATAGGTGGAGAGGAAACAAACAGGTCGAAGAGGCGGGGATGGAGCCAGTAAAGGTGAATGTAGGTAGGGAGTTAGGAAGGGGATAGGTCAGTCCAGGGAGGACGGACAGGCCAAGGGGGCGGGATGAGGTTGGTCGGTAGGAGATGGAGGTGCGGCTTGAGGTGGGAGGAGGGGATAGGTGGGAGGAAGAACAGGTTAGGGAGGCAGGGACGAGCTGGACTGGTTTTGGGATGCGGTAGGGGGAGGAGAGATTTTGAAACTTGTGAAATCCACATTGATACCATTGGGCTGCAGGGTTCCCAAGCGGAATATGAGTTGCTGTTCCTGCAACCTTCGGGTGGCATCGTTGTGGCACTGCAGGAGGCCCAGGATGGACATGTCGTCTGAGGAATGGGAGGGGGAGTTGAAATGGTTCGCGACTGGGAGGTGCAGTTGTTTATTGCGAACCGAACGTAGGTGTTCTGCAAAGCGGTCCCCGAGTCTCCGCTTGGTTTCCCCGATGTAGAGGAGGCCACACCGGGTACAGCGGATGCAGTATACCACATTGGCAGATGTGCAGGTGAACATCTGCTTGATGTGGAAAGTCTTCTTGGGGCCTGGGATGGGGGTGAGGGAGGAGGTATGGGGGCAGGTGTAGCACTTCCTGCGGTTGCAGGGAAAAGTGCCGGGTGTGGTGGAGCTGGAGGGGAGTGTGGAGCGGACAAGGGAGTCACGGAGAGAGTTGTCCCTCCGGAAAGCAGATAAGGGTGGGGAGGGAAAGATGTCTTTGGTGGTGGGGTCGGATTGCAGATGGCGGAAGTGTCGGAGGATGATGCGTTGGATCCGGAGGTTGGTGGGGTGGTACGTGAGGACGAGGGGGATTCTTTTTTGGTTTTTATTGCGTGGACGGGGTGTGAGGGATGAGGTGCGGGAGATGTGGGAGACACGGTTGAGGGCGTTCTCGACCACCGAGGAGGGGAAGTTACGGTCCTTGAAAAACGAGGACAACTGAGATGTACGGGAGTGGAATGCCTCATCCTGGGAGCAGATGCGGCGGAGGCGAAGGAATTGGGAATGGGGGATAGCATTTTTTGCAGGAAGGTGGGTGGGAGGAGGAGTATTCTAGGTAGCTGTGGGAGTCGGTGGGCTTGAAATGAATATCGGTTTCTAGGTGGTTGCCCGATATGGAGACAGAGGTCCAGGAAGGGGAGAGAGGTGTTAGAGATGGTCCAGGTAAACTTAAGGTTGGGGTGGCAGGTGTTAGTGAAGTGTATGAACTGTTCGAGCTCCTCGTGGGAGCACGAGGCGGCGCCGATACAGTCATCAATGTAACGGAGGAAGAGGTGGGGTTTAGGGCCGGTGTAGGTATGGAAGAGGGATTGTTCCACATAACCTACAAAGAGGCAGGCGTAGCTTGGGCCCATGCGGGTACTCATGGCTACCCCCTTTGTCTGTAGGAAGTGGGAGGAATTGAAAGAGAAGTTGTTGAGTGTGAGGATGAGTTCGGCTAAGCGGATGAGGGTATCAGTGGAGGGGGACTGGTCGGGCCTGCGGGACAGGAAGAAGCGGAGGGTCTTAAGGCCATCTGCATGGGGAATGCAGGTGTAGAGGGACTGGACGTCCATGGTAAAGATGAGGTGTTGGGGACCGGGGAATTGGAAGTTCTGGAGGAGGTGGAGGGCGTGGGTGGTGTCACGGACATAGGTAGGGAGTTCCTGGACCAAGGGGGAGAAAATGGAGTTTAGATAGTTGGAGATCAGTTTGGTGGGGCAGGAGCAGGCAGAGACAATGGGTCGACCGGAGCATTCAGGTTTGTGGATTTTGGGAAGGAGATAGAAGCGGGCAGTGCGAGGTTGGGGAACGATGAGGTTGGAGGCCGTGGGTGCGAGGTCACCTGAGGTGATGAGGTTGTGGATGGTTTGCGAGATGATGGTTTGGTGCTCAGGGGTGGGGTCATGATCAAGGGGGCAGTAGGAGGAGGTGTCGGAGAGTTGGCGTCCGGCCTCGGCGATGTAGAGGTCCGTGCGCCATACTACAGTACATTTCTTGCGTGTCCCCCTTTTTTTTTCTTGATTTTGGTTCTGTTCTTCCCTCATCAGTGAATTATTTCTCTTGCTTTTTTTTATTTTTTCCTGTATTCCCTACCTATCTTTATATCATCAACAACTAAGATGCACTTCTGTGTCTCTTCAATCTGTCCTTTAATATAGCTTGTAAACTGCAGAAGCTACAACTCTGGTCCCTTGTGGCAATTTGAGAATGCTCCATGTATCCATATTCTCTGCTTCCTGAGTATTAATCAAACCTCTATCCATGCCAATATATTATTTGAGTTGTTTTTGCAGTGGCAAATGAAAGCAGTTAGATTAGGAATGGTGGGTGGCATGGAGATATTTAGCCTTGCCTAAATGGGCTGCAGATAATAAAGTTTGAGAACCAGTGTTCTGGGGGTGGTGTATATGGAAAAAGCTGAATTGTTACCTAGAACACATGATCAAAAGTTGTGGAATTCTGTGAAATAGCTGACTGAAGGATCACACATTTGACGCAATAATTTGAACAATCAAATATTTCTGGAAATTTAAAAAAGACTTCTTAAGAACTGTGGTTACCAAAAGCTTCTCATTTTGCATATCAGAAATTGTGCACGTTCACATGCAGTATTTATCTTCAACTTGTTGCTGCAGCTGTGAAAAGTTCTCGTCAACGTTTTCATGCTATTAGAGAAAACAGATAATTTCATGTTTATGAAATATTTTGATTTTATTGTCTCAAAAAATAATAACCCTCAGTTAGTTAATTATTTGGTAGGCTAAAACTTGATGTAAAATTTTTGCACATAGTTTTTATTAAATTGGCAGAAAATTGTCATTTTCAAATGGTGATGCACATGTAAGACTTATTGCTACAAAAACAATACATGCCAAGGAGTCAGGTGATTTTTTTTTTCCCACCCTCTTGGCCCACCTTTTAATACTGTATAGTTAGCAGTTGTCAATATGTTTAAACACTTATTATGTTAATGCATAAAAATGGTCTCATTTTCTTGCTAGGCACTTTCTTCAGGAAGGTTAGTAGGTTCTTCAAAGCAACGTAATGGAAAAAAGAGGTAGGATGTCCGCTGTTTTGGCCATATTTCTGAATTGTTAATGTTTTATATTAAAAGCTCCAGTTATGATTACTTTAATGTTATGTAATATGTAAGCATTTTAACTCTTTTGAGAAAAGTTACAGCAGCTGTTCATGTTTCAAGTCCTGAAATTTGACCAAGAAATGTATGGACAGAACTATTTCTAGTTTAGGAAGATGCCTCTGATATTTCTGTATAGTTCTTTATTTATGCTGTATTTGGTGTTCATTTGGAGTCTAATTTTTTTAATGTGTGCCAGTTTTCAGAAATACAAACCTGGTTGAGATTAATATTGAAACTTGTAAGATTTTTCAGAAGTGAAATTTGCCCTATTCTCATAATTATGGAAGATTTGAAGCCATGCAGGTCTTGCTGTGTTCTTGCCACCATATAACTTTTTTTCTTGTAAAATATGTTTATGTTAATATGCTAATTAATAACTTTTTTTTAAAATGGAAAGCTGTATTTTTTTAACAAATGGCTGGGGCAGGTAGCATTTGAACCCTGATCTTCTGACCCAGAGGTAGGGACACTGCAACCCAAGAGCCCCAGAAAATCTGTGCAGTCATCCCTGACTTACGAACATCCAACTTAGGAGTGATCACAGTTAGAAATATGATACCATACAGTGATGTAATTTTTAAATATCTAACATAAGAATGTTTCTTGTGCTTATGAATGGCTATTTTTATATTATCCTGCATGGTATTCCAACTTTTGTGCAAATTGATTTGCGAATGCACACAACTGGAACCCATTTGCAACCCGAGGACTGATTGTATTCAGTTGAATTTGCAACATCCTAGATGTCATCCTTTTTTTAAAATTATAGCTGATTGGTAGAAGCAACAATTGAGGAAAATAGTAAGCATCAATAATGCATTTGCCTTGGAGTTGGGTGGTTACCAGCTAAAGTCTCTTCCCAAAATCTTGCGCACAAACATGTAGGCTGATATTTTACGCCAACACTGAGGCAGTCCTGCACTTAAAGGTGCCGTTTTCCAAGGTTCTGCCTGCTCTCTCAGGTGGATGTTAAAATCTGATAGTACTATTTTTAAAAGGAGTGAAGGAGTTATCCTTAGTATCCTTATGAAAATTTACCTCAAATCAATGTCAGAAATAGACAATCTGTTTATTATTCTATTGCTGTGTGTTTGAGCTTACTGTTTTGCAAATTGGCTACTGCCTTTCTTGCGTTATGACAGTGATTATACTTCCTCAGAAATACTTCATTGGTTGTAAACTGCTTTTGGTGGTTTAACGGGCTACATAAATGCAACAGCTTTTTATTGCCCTGGAACAAAAATTTGCTATGAAATGCAAGTGAGTTTACATCCTCTGGTGAGGCTTGCCACAATGCAGCAAAACGTTTCCCATTTTGAATTCAACACGAAAAGCAAATGTTTTATTGATCTCATTTTGTTTTTCTTATTAGGTTTACAAGTAGAAAAGCTTCAACAAATTCTGTAGACTCTGGTTACTCCCTGTATTCCACAGATTCTGAGGATCAGGTATTAACATAAGATGGTTGCCTCTTCTGGTTTTAGTTATATTATTGTTTCACTTAAATACTTGGATTTTATCTGATAGCATAAATTGTCAATTTTTTTTTTCAAAGGTTGCCAATATTCATAAAGGCCTTGATCGATGTGCAGCTTTATTGCAAGACATTTTGAAAAATGAGACAGCAGGTATGTTATTTTGCGTCTCTTTACTTGTTCAAAATATGATGCGATTTCATATGAAAATATGTCAACATTGCTTTTAATGTGATATCTCATTTGCATACAAAACTTGACAGTCATAATATAAACACTAGATCTATCAGCATCTGAAAAGACAAGTTAGCATTTTAAATAGGGTTGTAAATGGATTTCAGTTTTGAGATGAAATGTGCTGGATGTGTGTGCAAAAGTTCAATTTTGGCAGGTTATAAAAATGCATTAAAGGACTCAACCAGTAAAACAGCTCATAATAAAAGCAAAGTAGAAATAAATGAAAGAACGCAGCAGCAAAATGGGAAGACAACAACAGTCTATAATCACTAGAATCGAACCAGAGCTTTGTGGAATATCTAGGAAGAAAGTAGACTATTCCTGAAGTTTTAATTGGACTAAGGTAAGAAGTCAAAATCAAGTGGTGAAATGGAAGGGTGAATTGAAATGACAACCATAAGTAGATTGGGGCCATTCTTGTAGAAAATGGATTTCTTCTCTGTTTCTATGTTTAAGTGAACTATCTAATCATGATCAGAAATATTAGGCGATACTTTTTTTTCCTTTTTAATCAGGCAGTATGATGTCAACATTTGTACATACTGGAAATTGTGTTAATGCTCTGTTTTATGCAAACCACCATTAGATCAGAAGGTTGCTGCTCTGCCTTCAAAGAAGACAAATGTTAGAAAAGCAAAAGTGGCTTCCAACAAAGGAGAAAACAGTAAAAAGGAAGTCAAGAAAAATGGGCCTGTTTCCTGTGCTGTATGTTTGCAGCAAGAGACAGGTGAGTTATAGAAAAGGTAAACTAAGTAATATATATGTGAACGCTTGTATCATGAAATAGTTGTGCAATGTTTCACATTGTAATTCAAATTTTATAGGTGCAAAAGTGTGATAAAACCATAATTCATGAATTATTTGTTCGATAAAATCGTCACCACTCCGTCATTTTAGCTCTACCTCTGGATCCGTTCAGGGCTCTGCTATTGACATAGCCAAGGTGACCTGGTCAGTGCGCACATGTGTATACAGATTACTGAGTTGTTCACTAGGTCTAAGAACTGTGGTAGCTTTACCTGTTAAATTCCCAATCATAATGCGTGGGCACTGGCTTAAAGCTCTGGCTCGCTTCCCAGAGGTGCTACTACATAAGTGGCAGTTTGCACATCCTATGATCAACCAGGGTATCTGTTAATCTAAAGGACTTCTACTCCAGTACAGAGCTGGAGTTTTTTGTTTTTGTTGCTGTGTGCCATGATGCTCTCATCCTGTCCCCTTCCATGCTCACTGACATCTTTGGATGTGAAAGCAGATTTGAAATGAAAGCTGAGAGATAAAGAATACCCTCTTGAAACGTTGCTGCTGGATGCAGAGAAACCTAACCAATGTACTCTGTTTTCGGCACCAATGAAGCACTAAGTGCATCATTTAAGCATGCAATGAGCTATTCAGGGACTTGAACAGAAATTAAACTACACTTGAATACTTGCTAGCATGGGACTTCAAAATTATTGTGATGTGCTGCATGCTTCACAAGATCATGCAACAGTGAAGACAGAAGATGCAGAGTGAATGCTTGCAGATGAAAGGATAGCACCAGCTGCTCACTGGTGAGATTTTTATAGCTGCAGGCTCTGCTCAGTTATTACCTGTAATAATCACATCTGACCACTCTCTCTTCTACCAAGCAGTTCTGTAAACAACTAAAACATCTATTATACATTGTGACGCTTGATCAGAGACATTTCTTAAAATTGCCTGACTTTGTAGTTTGCTGTCTGATTTACAGGATTTTGTATTTCCAAATCACTTCCTGTTTTGAGGCTTTTAAATTATGATGTGATTCCTAAAAGTATTTGTAAAGATTATAAGGTTCATACTGTATCTGTAGCTAATTAATCTGAATGGATTGTGTTTTGCTATGCTAATATTGCCAGAGTACAAATTTAATTAATTTTCTACTTAGCTTCAACACCAAAGTTGAAGAGGATTCCTGATGCAGTTGAAGTAGGTGTGAACAACACTACCCATGTGTCAACGATGCCACAATCGACAATTCCATCAAATCAGCACTCTCCTGTTATAAATCATTGCCTCTCTGATCACGTACAGACACAAATGGGTCTTATAAATGACCATGCTCCAGGAGGTCCCTCAAGTAGGATATCGCCTCGATCTTACTACACAATCTTGGACTCTGGTAAGAACATGCTTAATTTCTTTAGAGCAAATATTGTAGTAAAAAATAACTCAATTTTGTTCCTTGATTTAGAATGCTTAAAACTGTTTACAGATGTCAGTACATGCTTGATATAATTTTCTGTGCCAATAATAGCACACCACAGTTTTTACTTGTTTGTGTTAACTACTATTACTAGTTTCATTTTAAATATTTATCATGTTTACTTTTAGGACCCCAAGTTGTTTCAGCATTTAATTGTAGGCTGCCTACATCTACACCAACTCTGTCTCCAAAGAATCTTGAGCATCCGTTAGTAATACATTCTGTAAGTATATAAATGGGTAGTTCTGTAATAAATATATTATTTACAATATCTGGAACATAATGTACATAACAGTTAAACGAGCAGATTAAGGAAGATTCAATTCTCCTGGATAATCTGATTTGGACCTTGTAAAGCGAAGCTTTAAAATATACTTAGAAGTTGTTTATTGCTCTGATAACTCTACGACTGAAAACCTAATCTCTCAAACCATAAATATTTTATTTTCATTCTTTATGGCTGCTATATTTTGTTTTCTCTGTCTATTTCCATTTTCCGTCTTATTTTAATTTAACATTCATTTTACACATATTCTTGGACTTCTCTGATTCCAATCTCTCTTTTTTCACTTTATCTTTGCCAAATTCTTCTATCTGATTATTTTGGAGATGTGTTTAACTTTGGAAGAAAATACCTTCAGCTAAAGTTTGCCAAAATTAATAGGCTCTGGGGCAAATCAAAAAATTGAACCAAAAAGCAGAAAATACTGGAGAAGCTCAGCAGGTTTGGTAGTAACTGTGGAGAGAAAAACTGGGCAAACACTTCAAGTCAGGTGACCGTTAACTAAGTTGGCTCCAAAACAACTCACCTGCCTTGTGAAAGTTCTATGAGAAGTTAATAAATCCAATACCTCAGCAGAAAAGTTCAAGATGCCGTAGAACTTGGAGAGGCAGGATTTTTTCCATTCTATTCGTGTTTGTAAGTTTGTGCCTGAACGCAGAATGGAATGGTTTTAGTTGTTCAAATGGAATGAAATTTGGCAGTGCTCTAATCTTGTTTGGTTGTACCTGATTACATTGAACACACTCCCTGTCAACACTGAGGCATGACTGTTGTTGGTTTCTAGATAAGATTCTAACTTTCATTTGGGCTGAACGGCTAGTTTGCAATGCAAAGTGAAGCCAACAGTGTGGATTCAGTTCCCGCACAGCCTAAAGTTACCATGAAGGACTTCTCAACGTCTCTGCTTGCCTGAGGCATGGTGAACCTTCAGTTAAACCACCACTAATTACCTGTCTCATGAGCTCTAGGGTCCAGTAGGACTGTGGCATCTACTTTATAAAGGAAATGTATGTACTCCATTTTCTGCATTCAAAATTATACTCAGTATTTCATTTGGTTTGATGACTCTACCGTGTCATCAATTTAAGCTAATCATTTTTTAAAAGACACACTACTACTTCTGGACAAAATGTTAAATAAATGATTACCTTTCTTGATAATTGTTTTCAATAGAATTCTCAGTTTTTAAAATGTATGTAGAAAATGGTCTTTTAAATGAAATATCCTTTTTTTAAATTGAAACTATGAATTGAATCATAAAGGGGTTAAATTATTTTTTTTGAATTTTTGGTGATCCACACACAGTCTCAAGATTTTTTAAAAAATCATGTCAGTCTTGTTTTATTGGGGATGCTTCCTACATTGTAGAAATAGTTTTTGCATAGTACAACTCAGTGGCACAACTGATAGGTGTCTCACAAACAGATCTGTTGAAATTTTATTCGGTACCACTTTATGGCAAAGTTTAATAGCACAGCTGGAACGATTGAATTTGTTTATTTCAAAATAGTTGACAAAAAAATCAATTCCTTGTATGTGATAGCACTTCCAGATATTTAAAAAGAAGTTAACATAAAACTTGATGGAATTGACAGCTGTGAATGATGTTAGTCTCATAAATAGCATTCCAGTTAATGAGGTTGTCTGAAAATGGATATGGCAATTAATTGTCTTAAGTGAATATTCCTTGTTTTTATGGACCAAAATGAGTGAGTAAGTTTATTTCATTTTAACTAACAATTAAAAACATTAAATACGTTTGAAATTCCAGCTGTGCTATTATAGAATGCTTTTTGTTTTCTTAATCTGGATATATAATAAATGTACATCGTACATCTGGAAACAAAACAGTTAACATTAAAAGTTAGTTTAGTGGTGAGAAATGGTCGATGTGTCCATCACAATCTATCCCCTGAACACTGATCTTCATATTATTAACACGAAATGTTTTTGAATATACAATTCTCTCTTACCAAATTTATTCTGGTTATTTCAAAGGGATCTCGTATATTAATAGCTATTTAAGTTCATGAAAAGCAAATCCAGTTTGTCATTGCTTGTACTATTCATTATTTACAATGCCCTTCTATTAAATAATCTAGTATGCTTTATACCTTACTGGTCCCTTCCTTGACTGTGATATTTCAGAACTATATAAGAAATCTTTTTGTACCCTGTTCAATGCAAATACATTTTTTGAGCTATAGCAGCCATAATCATACATGCTGCTGAATCTGAATTTGATCTTGCCGGACCTTTTGTAAATCTTTTAGTTTAACAGAAGGAGACAAAATAAAACAGTGTTACAGATACTGGAAATAGCAAGTTGGATAGTACCTGTGGAGGAAAAAGCAACGTTAATTTTTTAGAGATAACGAGGTGTAGAGCTGGATGAACACAGCAGGCCAAGCAGCATCATAGGAGCAGGAAGGCTGACGTTTCGGGCCTAGACCCTTCTTCAGAAATGGGGGAGGGGAAGGGGGTTCTGAAATAAATAGGGAGAGAGGGGGAGGCGGATAGAAGATGGATAGAAGAGAAGATAGGTGGAGAGGAAACAGACCGGTCAAAGAGGTGGGGATGGAGCCAGTAAAGGTGAGTGTAGGTGGGGAGTTGGGGAGGGGATAGGTCAGTCCAGGGAGGACGGACAGGTCAAGGGGGCGGGATGAGCTTAGTAGGTAGGAGATGGGGGTGCGGCTTGAGGTGGGAGGAAGAACAGGTTAAGGAGGCGGGGATGAGCTGGGCTGGTTTTGGGATGCGGTAGGGGGAGGGGAGATTTTGAAGCTTGTGAAATCCACATTGATACCATTGGGCTGCAGGGTTCCCAAGCGGAATATGAGTTGCTGTTCCTGCAACCTTCGGGTAGCATCGTTGTGGCACTGCATGAGGCCCAGGATGGACATGTCGTCTGAGGAATGGGAGGGGGAGTTGAAATGGTTCGCGACTGGGAGGTGCAGTTGTTTATTGCGAACCGAGCGTAGGTGTTCTGCAAAGCGGTCCCCGAGCCTCCGCTTGGTTTCCCCGATGTAGAGGAGGCCACAATGGGTACAGCGGATGCAGTATACCACATTAGCAGATGTGCAGGTGAACATCTGCTTGACGTGGAAAGTCTTCTTGGGGCCTGGGATGGGGGTGAGGGAGGAGGTGTGGGGGCAGGTGTAGCACTTCCTGCGGTAGCAGGGAAAAGTGCCGGGTGTGGTGGGGCTGGAGGGGAGTGTGGAGCGGACAGGTGGCCTAAAGGACCCTCCGCTTCTTCCTGTCCCGCAGGCCCGACCAGTCCCCCTCCACTGACACCCTCATCCGCTTAGCCGAACTCGTCCTCACCCTCAACAACTTCTCTTTCAATTCCTCCCACTTCCTACAGACAAAGGGGGTGGCCATGGGTACCGGCATGGGCCAAAGCTATGCCTGCCTCTTGGTAGATTACGTGGAACAATCCCTCTTCCGTACCTACACTGGCCCTAAACCCCACCTCTTCCTCCGTTACTTTGACTGTATCGGCGCTGCCTCGTGCTCCCACGAGGAGCTCGAACAGTTCATCCACTTCACCAACACCTTCCACCCCAACCTTAAGTTCACCTGGACCATCTCCTGGACCTCTCTGTCTCCATCTCTAGCAATCACCTAGAAACCGATATCCATTTCAAGCCCACCGACTCCCACAGCTACCTGGAATACACCTCCTCCCACCCACCTTCCTGCAAAAATGCCATTCCCTATTCCCAATTCCTTCGCCTCCGCCGCATCTGCTCCCAGGATGAGGCATTCCACTCCCGTACATCTCAGATGTCCTCGTTTTTCAAGGACCGCAACTTCACCCCCTCAGTGGTCGAGAACACCCTCCACCGTGTCTCCCGCGTTTCCCGCAACTCATCCCTCACACCCCGTCCCCACAATAACAACCAAAAAAGAATCCCCCTCGTCCTCACGTACCACCCCACCAACCTCCGGATCCAACGCATCATCCTCCGATACTTCCGCCATCTGCAATCCGACCCCACCACCAAAGACATTTTTCCCTCCCCACCCTTATCTGCTTTCCGGAGGGACCACTCTCTCCGTGACTCCCTTGTCCGCTCCACACTCCCCTCCAGCCTGACCACACCCGGCACTTTTCCCTGCAACCGCAGGAAGTGCTACACCTGCCCCCACACCTCTTCCCTCACCCCCATCCCAGGCCCCAAGAAGACTTTCCACGTCAAGCAGATGTTCACCTGCACATCTGCTAATGTGGTATACTGCATCCGCTGTACCCGTTGTGGCCTCCTCTACATCGGGGAAACCAAGCGGAGGCTTGGGGACCGCTTTGCAATAAACAACTGCACCTCCCAGTCGCGAACCATTTCAACTCCCCCTCCCATTCCTCAGAAGACATGTCCATCCTGGGCCTCCTGCAGTGCCACAACGATGCTACCTGAAGGTTGCAGGAACAGCAACTCGTATTCCGCTTGGGAACCCTGCAGCCCAATGGTATCAATGTGGACTTCACAAGCTTCAAAATCTCCCCTCCCCCTACCGCATCCCAAAACCAGCCCAGCTCATCCCGCCTCCCTAACCTGTTCTTCCACCCACCTATTCCCTCCTCCCACCTCAAGCTGCACCCCCATCTCCTACTTACTAACCTCATCCCGCCCCCTTGACCTGTCCATCCTCCCTGGACTGACCTATCCCCTCCCTAACTCCCCACCTACACTCACCTTTACTGGCTCCATCGCCACCTCTTTGACCTGTCTGTTTCCTCTCCACCTATCTTCTCCTCTATCCATCTTCTATCCACCTCCCCCTCTCCCTATTTATTTCAGAACCCCCTTCCCCTCCCCCATTTCTGATGAAGGGTCTAGGCCTGAAATGTCAGCCTTTCTGCTCCTCTGATGCTGCTTGGCCTGCTGTGTTCATCCAGCTCTACACCTTGTTATTTCAGATTCTCCAGCATCTGCAGTTCCTACTATCTCTTTAATTTTTTAGAACTGTTGAAAAGGCTCACAAAAATACAAGTGTACGCCTTCGAATCATTTTCCATTGTGTTATCTGTTATTGGTACTACAAATCTATTACTTGACCTTTTTTCTAAATTGGTAGAGAAGTGTAGGGTAATTTTTTGGGGCCTGTCAATCCTGCATTGGCAATTTGTGCCCAAACAGAGGTCCAAGCCTGTTCCAATGTTGGGCCTCTATCTAAATATTTTAGTTGAACTGCAGATACTTGTTATGACTCCTCAGGCAGCAAACCTTGTAAGGAGGATAGTCTTGCGGAGATGTAGCTTTACCAGCATTGATCTCTGATAGGTCCTGTGAAGAGGAAAGGCAGCAGGAGGGGTGGGGTGGTGTTGATTGTATCCGTCATGTGTGTGGAGAAAGAGCACTCATTGTTCATTACTTCACAATAAAATTGTAAGTAACTTAAGTTGTTATACTCTCATAGTAAAATTGAATTCCTGAGAACTGTTTGTTATCACTATCACGTTTTGTTCATTCAGTTTCCATTGTTTTAACAGAGTATACCCACTGAGCTTTGTGATCAACCTGTTCTTCAAAAAGGATTGAACTTTGTACCAGCATATTCAGGTTCAGCTACCATTGTCCCTACAGCACAACCTGTGGTAACTTTTCCGGTATCTGCAGTCACATCTGTGGCTGCACATCCTTTAGCTCAGTTAGTCTGTAACACTGGCACTGGGCATAGTCACTACCCACAACAAGTAAAGGAACAAGAGCTGCTAAAGTGTATCCAGTGTCATACAACCCAAATGCACCAAGGGGAAGTATTCCAGCAAGTGACTTGGGAAGCACAAGGGACTGATAAATCAGATACGGAGCAAAGTGATGGGACAACAAGTGAAGATGATCACATAAATTTTGTGGATATTACACCAGTAAAAGATACCAGATGTCAGACCAGCTTTGACAAGCACACAAAACCTAAAAAGCAAAGTCCTGACAAAACAGCCAAGAAAGTGAAAACTATCAGATATCTGTTGAGTGAACTGAAGGCTCTAATTGTTGACCAAGGTAATTGCAATAAATGCTATAATTTTCTTTTCTTTTACATCTCCACTCGCTTAATCTTCTATATGCACTATGGCTTGGTGCTTTCCAGTGCTACCCTGATATTAAGTATGTATAAACTTAATTTGTCAAATGGTCACTGGATATATTTACCAAATCAAAATATCTTTTTTTAAGTAACTAGCCAAAAATGTACATCTTTTTGATCTATGAAATATAACCCAAAATTAGTCATAATTAATCATAAGTTTCAAGATTGTGGAAAGATCCCAGTAGATAGGAAAACCACAAAAGTAACACTTGTATTAGATAAAGGGAGAAAGCAGGATACTCTAGGCCGGTTAACTTACATTTTCTTCAAAGACAGGTGTTAAGAATGAGATATCAGCAAGAAATTTAGAAAATCATTATACAATCTGACTGATTCAATGTGGTTTTGTGAAATGAAAATTGTGTTTGACAAGTTTTATTTATTAGAGTCCTTTGATAATGTAACAAGCAGTGTGGATGTAGAAGAACCAGTAGAAATATTAGTTACTACTACTATCACTATCTAACTACTTCTTGGCTAAGTGCAAATTATACCTAGTTTTTTTGTTTTTGTTGGGTTTCTTGCCATATGTTGCCAAATGTACCTTTTATAAACTACATATCCTAACCCTATAGGATCCCTGCATCCGATTCAAGTCCCATTTCACCGCTCAGCAAATACATGTCAAAGACAAGCTTTCTTTGCGCCTACACCATCTTTTGAAAGCTTGTTGTACACCCAGTCAAGCCCTAGCTGGCTTAAAGTCTTAACATTGCAACATCTTTCCGTTATGACAATCTAACTCATATATTTGGTTTATATCTGGGCTTGAAAACTGATTTCTGTCTCTGGGATAAGGGGGGTCTTTTCAGGATGGCACCCTGGCCACTGGGATCAGTGCTGTTGCCACAACTATTTACAATATATATTAATTACTTGGATGAAGAAAGTACTGTTGGCAAATTGTGGATTGCAAAAATAGGTGGGGGGACAAAAGTATAGGGTGACTCAGAGTCTGCAGAGTGATAATGACAGGTTAAATGAGTATGCATATGCTTGGCAGATGGAATATAATTTGGGAAAATATGTGGTTATGCACTTCGGCAGGAACAATAGCAGAAATGAATATTATTTAAATGGAGAATAACTGCAGAAAACTACAGAACAGAGGGATTTGGGAGTCCCTGAGCATAAATCACAAAAAAGCTAGCATCCAGATGTGATGGGCTTGACAGGATAAAAACACATAGGATGCTTCCCCTAATGGCAAAGTCTAGGACCAGAGAGCATAGTCTGAGTAAATGGGTGCCAATTTAAGACTGAAGTGAGGAGGAATTTCTTCTGAGGGTTGAGACTCTTAAGGACTCCTTGCCACACCGAGCTGTGGGGCAGACTCCTTGTGTATATTTAAGGCTGAGAGAGAGATTCTTGATCATTTGGGGAATCAAGGGTTATAGACAAAAAGCAGGAAAATGGACATAACAAATGTCAGATCAGCCATGATCCTATTGAATGGCAGAACAAGCTCAAGAGGCCAATCGGCCTACTCCTGTTTCTGTTTCTTATCATTTTCAGGCTCTAGTTAGAGCACAACTGGAAAACTGTGAATAGTTTTAGGCCCCTTTATCTAAGGAAAATATACTGGCATTGGAGATGGTCCGAAGAACGTTTGAGAGGCTGTTCCTAGGTCTGGGAGGGACTGTCCTATCAGTAAAGTAATTGAGGGTTATGGTGAAAAGACAGGGAAGTAGAGTTAATTATAAGGTCAACCAAGATCTCACTGAATGGGCAGAATGGCCTAATCCTCCTTTGTCATCTGGTCTTAAATGTGGGGGAAGGTCACTTGAAGTTACTCTTCAAAGGACTGGGAATACACAAGCCCTTCAAAAGCTGGAAGGAATTTTGGCAGTCCTGTATAAGAACTTCACTTCCATAGTGCAATTGTGTGAGGACTTTAAAAGGGGAGTAAAAGAGACATGTTCCTCTGCAGTTTAGATTATAAATTGCTCACAAAGATGATGTTTAGTTAAGTGTCTCAGTCAGTTATCACAGATTGTTAAGTTGGCATGGGGTAGATGTAGTAGCAGGCATGGGGAGTTGGTGGGGGCTGTTCAGGGCAATAGAATCTAATGTTTAATGAAACAATGGGGACAAAGTCCCAGAATATTAAGGAGGGGTCTTTTATTCCAGCCTGCCTCAACACTCAGAAACCCCCATGGCAGCCTCCAAAAGGCATTTGGCAGCAGAGAGCCCGACTCCAGCCTGCACAGGCTTCTCTGCCTACCGAAGGTCAAAAATCCCACCTTTTGGGTGAGTTTCTTCTGAGGTGGTGGGTCGGAGGGGTGGGAACGCAGTGAGCTAGTAAATTTTCTGACTCCTGATACCTGACTTGGCAGCAAAAATTCAAGCTTGTATGAAGTTAACTTAAGATGCTCATAAATTGTAATAATACTGTGTATAGGTAACTTCTCTTCAATAATGCTTCAGGAATCCCATTTTTGAGCTAAGCAGCTACATCTGATTAATGTTGGATAAATGTTTTGCATTGAAATCATGATCTATTACATTGAGTAAGATGTGAATGGATGGGGATCAAGTACTCATACACAACGTATATTGATAGGATTTGTTAATGTTAATGTCTTTCTATTGGCAGATGATTCTGAGGCTCACAGATTGATAATGGAACTAGAGGATAGTATCTCTCTACTACCAACTGTGATTGGAAGCACAAATGTACAAGCAGAAATAGCTCTGAGTCTCCAACCTCTACGCAGTGAGAATGCACAACTGCGCAGGTCAGTAAGATTTCTATCCTATTGTCTGCTTAGCATATTTTAATTTTCCTCCCATGACAATCAAACTAAAATGGGAGTTCAGTGTGAGGAAAGCTAAGTGCAAGCAACAAACATCTTGCTATTTCCATTTCGTATTGCAAGATAGTACTATATACATATAATTTGCTGATCAACTTTTGAGATGGGATTCCACCCCTAGGCTGAGCTTTTGCTGTCAGTTTTGTTAGTTTCCATGAGGAATTTTTGATGGAATGATCCTATCCTTCTACTCCTAGCAGTTTGCTATTTTTGATGCTATATAAGAATGTCCTTTTCTTTTATTAATTTGACCTTTTTTTTCTAATTAACCTGTTCAAAGATATTATTACACGCCTCTGGAGCAGGTGCGACTTGAATCCAGGTCAGAATGTCCAAACTTAATGTGCACCATCTGGTGCTCAATATTATCTTAAAGTGGAGCAATTTAATAAGCTCCCTTTCCTTGACATATTAGTTGAAATCTGCTAATGAGTTATCTACTCTTTGCTAGAAGCCTACCCTCACTGGACAATATATATGATGGATGCCTACTAATCCACATGCTGTATGATTGGCCTGAGCCATCTACTCACACTGCAAACTTTGTATAGATATGGGTTGCATCAAAGCTATAACTATGAGAAAGTGGTTAAACTGATTGGATTATTGCTCATTGTGGTTGGACATATCCATGAATGGGTCTAAGCTGTGTCTTTTGGGCCTTAAAATGGTCCAGTCTACTCATGACCTTAGAGTAAGGTATCTATAACTTGAATGGTACTTTCCCCTAACAGCAGTATCCTGTTAGGGGGAGTTTAAATTAGTTTGGTAGGAGGAGGGGAGATAAACTGTAGTACAATAGGGATATAGTAAAGGAATAAGACAGACGGAGTTCAGCCAAGTTCAGTTTTAAAGGAGTAGGTTTTTAGGGATAACCCTTACTTTAATGGTAGGAGTATTATACATAAGACAGATGAGTTAAGGGTGTGGATTAACACACAGAATTGTGATATTGTTCCCATCACAGAGACATCATTGAGGGAGGGGCAGGACTGGCTGAAATAGCCCCAGGAAGGCCGGTATCCTATCACTGAGTCACTCTCTAGTTACTGAACATAGTACATGAAACTAATCCAGCTAGCTCCTGAGCCAGTTTCTAGAGTGAGCAAAATATCTGACACTCCTGTTTAAATCTTTCAGCCAGGACTCCCTGACTGGGGCTGTTAATCTGGCCCAATTGGGAACTCGTATTGTATGAGGTCGATCTGGCTGACCTCATTCCAATCACTGCACTGGCAACTCAACATTCCAAGGTATAGGATCTTGAGGCAACATAGGTGAGGATGTAGAAGAGGAGATGATATTGCACTAATAATCAAGGTGGGACACTATCTTGGGAGGGTATTCAAATGAAGCTTTGTAAACAGAGATTAGGAATAAAAAGGGGGCAGTCACACTGCTGGAAGTGTGCTATAGGCTTCCAAACAGTCAGGAAGCAGTAGAAAAGCAGAGAGGCGCATAAAAACAATAATAAGGTATTTGAGAGATTTCAATTTCGCCAACATTAAATGGGATACTCATAGTTTAAAGGGTTTAGATGGTGTGGATTTCTTGAAGTGTATTTGGGAGAGCTTTTTAGGTCAACATGTAGACGTTCCAACAACAGATGGTGCTGTGCTGGGCTGAATACCAGCTGACAGATATGAGGTGGCAGTGGGGAGCATTTTAGCGACAGTGACCGTAACACTAGAATTTTAAGTTTGGCATGGAAAAGGAAAAAGCTGATCTGCAAAAAAATGGTTTTGGATTGGGGAAGGCAGATCTTATTTTAAGGCACGAAGTGGGCAAAGTAGATTGGGAACAGGTGGGAAAATCTACAGCAGAAGAATGTGTGTGTGTGTGTGTGTTGGGCACAACCTGTTCCCATTAGGGAGAAAAATATACCAGAGAACCCTGGATGTCTCGGAATATTCGCAACTGGATAAGATGGCTCGGGTTATTAAAACAAAAAGTGCCGAGGAAGGATCTGACTATGGTGCAAAAGCGTGGACAGGGTGGATAGGAAGCACCTTTTCCCCTTAATTTAAGGTACAATAACATGGGGGCACAACTTTAAAGTCAAGGGCATGAGGTTCAGTGGGAATTTGCAGAAACATCTTCACCCAGAGCATGGTGAGAATCTGAATTGCACTGGCTTCGAGGGTAGTAGAAGTGAGAAATCTTACAACCTTTAAAGAAAATGTGGACGAGCACTTGAAATATCGCAACATTCAAGGTTGTGGGCCAAGTGCTGGAAAGCAGGAGTAGTGTAGATAGGTCGGCACAGACTTGATGGGCCAAAGGGATTGAATGACTCTACAATAGATACGAGAATTCTGCAGTAAGTAACTCATCTCTGACTCCTCAAAACTGTCCATGTTTACAAGCCGCAAGTCAGAAATTTGACAGAATACTCCCCATTTGCCTGGATGAGTGCAACCTCAACAACACTCAAGAAGCTTGATGTAATCCACAAAAAAAAAGCCCACTATACTGCCACCGCATCTACTCTTTATATCACTTAGGCTCAGTAGCAGCAGTGTGTATCATCTACAAGATACACTGCAACAATTCACCAAGGCTCCTGAGACAGCACCTTCCAAACCCATAACCACTTCCATTTAGAAGGACAAGGACAGCAGATACATTGGAACTACACAATCTGCAGGTTCCCCACCAAGCCACTTACCATCCTGACTTGGAAATATATTGCCATTCTTTTAGTGTCACTGGGAAGGATTCTGGAATTCCTTTCTGACAATATCATAGATCTACTTGCAGCACGTGGACTGCAAAAGTTCAAGAAGACTGCTCACAAGGGTGGGATTGCTATCGTGATATATCGTGACTTGTGGCTTGTAAATGTGGACAGTTTTGAGGAGTCAAATGAGTTACTTGCTGCAGAATTCTTGTATCTATTGGCTAGGCTAGCATTTATTGCCAATGATGCCCACATACCATGAAGTAATTTTTCAAAAAAAATAGAATTCTTTTGAAGAGGTAACAACCAGGATAGATAAATGGGAACAAGACGTGTAATGTATTTGGATTTCCTGAAGTCCTTATGGTAAGAATTTAACATGTGGTCCCTTGTTTTGAGGTAGCCTAGGATAAAAATAATTAAGATGTTAGGAGTAATGTATTTTGAATAGACAGAGACTTGGCTAACTAAAAGAAGTCAAAGTTTAAAATAAAGGGGGCAATTTTGGGATGGCAGCCTCTAATTAGTGCAGTGCCATAGGGCTCAATGCTGAGATCACTGGTATTTGCAATATATCAATGACTTGGATGAGGGAAGTGAATGTACTGTTGTAACGTTTGCAGATGACACAAATAGTAGGAAGCCAGGCGGTGATGACACGAGGCATCCACAGAACAGATGCAGGCAGGCTAAGTAAGTGGACAAAATCTTAGCAGGTGGAATATAATGGGAAAATGAGGGGTAATGCACTCTAAGAAGAAGAATAGAGAAGCTAAACGTGATTTAAACAGGGGAGGCAGTGCGGAAGGCTGCAGTGCAGGGGGCATTTGGAATCCTATGGCATGCATCACAAAAAGCTAGCATACAAGTTTAGCAAATAATAGGAAATTGGATTGTTGGCCTGTATTTCGAAGGGAATGAAATATAAAAATGGGAGCTTTTGGTAACTTGTACAAGGCATTATTAAGGAAGCAACAGCTAAACATTTGGAAAACCGTAATCTAATCAAGCAGAGTCAGCATAGCTTCATGAAAGGGAAATTGTGTCTGACTAATTTATTAGAGATTTTTAAACAATTTTCATTGAGCGTGGATAGAGTGAATAGATGTGTTGTATTTGGACTTTTAGAAGGCACTTGAGAAGGTACCTCAAAAAAGTCATACAAGAGCCCACAGTGTTGGAGGAAGTATATTGGCCAGAATATAGAATTGGCTAACGGGTAGGAAACAGCGATGGGAATAAGGGGTTCTTTTTCAGGTTGGTGACCAGTCAGGTTCCACAGGGATCAGTGCTGGGAGTGAACTGGTTATAATACATATTAATGATTTGGAGGAAGGAAGTGAATTTACTGTAGGCAAATTTGCAGATGACACACACCGGTGGTAAAACAAGTTGCAAGAGGGATATTAACAGTTTAAAGTGAGGGATTGATAAATTAAGTAGGCAAAAAGTCAAATGGAGTATAATCTGGGAAAATATGAAGTTGCCCATTTTGGAAGGGAGAACAAAAAAAGTGTTATTTTACATGCTGAAAGCTGCAACACAAAGGGACTTGGGTGTACTTGTGTGCGAAGTGCAGACAGTGAGTAGGTGCAGCAGGTAATCAGGAAGGCTAATGGAATGTTGGTCCTTATTTCAAGGAAGTTGGAGTATAAGAAAAGGGAAGTTTTACTGCAACTACAAGGTGCTGGTGAGACCACATCTGGAATACTGTGAGCAGTTCTGGTCCCCTTATTTGAAGAAAGATATCATTTCATTGGAGGCAGTTCAGAAAGGTTCACTAGGATGATCCCTGCTATGGAAAGATATCTTATGAGCAAAGATCAAACAGGTTGAGACTCTACTCACAGGAGTTTAGAAGAATGAGAAGTGATCTAATTGAAACATATAGGATTCTAGGACAAATTGTGCCAGCTTGATTAGCAACCCATTCACCACCTTCAAATGTTCACTTCTACCATTGGTGTTCCATTAGTGCAGTGAATAACATCTACAAGGTGCACTGCAGTAACTTGTCAAGGCTTCTTTGACAGTACCTCCCAAACATGATCTCTACAAGGACAAACACATGAGGAACATACAAACATCATTACATGTGGCTAACACATTACCTGATTTTGAAATAGTTCACATTTCTTTCATCATAATTGGATCAAAATCCTAGAGATCCCTCCCTAACAGCATTTTGGAAATACCTTCACCATACTACAATGGTTAAAGATGACTACTCACCACCACCTTCTTGAGGGCAACAAGGAATGGGTGATAGAAGCTGGCTTTGCCCTTGTGGCCACATCCTAAGAATTTTTATTAAAACTGTTTTGGGTATTCAACATAAAACTTGCTGCTCTTAAAGCATGTTGTTTCACTTTTGTGTTTAATTAATTCACAAAAGATTCATTGTGCTGAAGCCATTTGTCTGTGAATACAAGGTAAGGCTCTTGAGCTGGAAATAAAATCAGCAATGTTGAAATTACTCAGCATGTCTGGCAGTATCTGTAGAAAGTGAGAACTATTCTGATGAAAGATCATTTATTTGAAACAGTGGACTGAACCTTTCCTGAACAGCAGCAATTGCTGAGAAGCTCACTACTTTTGAAGGATGCAACTAAACCATCACTTCCAAAGTGCCCACTTGTGCTCAAATGCACAAATCACAGTTCATGTACAAGAGCTTGCAAGTGTCCAAGTTGGTGGTCTCGGCTTGTCCTGTAATTGAGGAATGTGGGCTGATAGTGTAACTTTCAGATTTTATTTTTTACTTTAAAGGGCTGATTCAGCAGGTACAGGAATTAATCCACCATTGCAAAGACTCCAGTAGGGTGAATTTTGAGATTGACTTTGACTTTGAAAATCTTGCATGAGTGACTTATGGAAAAAGCTGTATAGAATGCAATTTTCCCCAAGATGCGTTTTAAAATAAAAATCTGGAAAATGGCTAGACTGATTGAAAGCAGATGTGGATCTTAATGCAGTCACGTTGGAGTGCTGTAACACCTCGAAGCTCCCTCTTCACTCATTATGAGCAGAATACAAATGTTTGTGAGTTGTTGCTTTGACACAAGGTTTTTGTTTATTTGTAATAGACTAGTTTCATTTGTAATTTTATTATTCTTAAATGAGTGGCATATCATGTGCTCAATACAACAGTGGCAAACAATAGAATAGTGTTAAATCAATCTGATATTATTTCAATCAATGAAATAAGACTATTCTGGCAGAAAGATTTGAACAGGGCTACAAGTGGCATTAAACAGTCTACTTGCTTATTGACTTGAAGCAACAAAATATTCTTAAAGTTGAAAAACTGAAAGTTAGAATAGAATTAGAACTTGCTTTATTTTTGCTAATTTATAAGTGATGTTGTCCATATACTGTTTAACTTTCAATTTTGCTGTTATACTTTTCCAAAAGAAAATTAGATTGTTCAAGTCAGTGGAAGATCTTCAACAATAATGGCTATGACTGTCTTTACCAAATATTTATAACATTAAAAATATCTCATAGTACTTGAATGGTGGTGCAGTGCAGTGCAGGGGCCAAAACAGGGAATGATGCCGTTTTGTAGCAGGGAAAACAAGTTCCTTCTGCAGACAAGATGTGGTTTCTTCTAGGCAGTCAGTAGCTAATGTTGCAGCTTCATTGCATAGCAGACATATGGGCTCTTACTTTCTGTCAGTGCTGTCAGATTATATTTGAGAATTTCCAGCTTTTTTTTTTATTCTAGATTTCCAACATGTACAATATTCTGCTTTGGGCTTAAGTATTATTGCTATTTGAATTTGAATATTTGAATATTCAAAGCAATTTTTCAAAGTGCTCAGCAAAAGTATATTCCAATGAAAAGGAAGGACTGTAAGAAAAGGGGTAATCCGCCATGGGTGTCTAAAGAAATAAGGGAGGCTATCAAATTGAAAGAAAAGGCATACAAAGTGGCCAAAAACAGCATGAAACTAGAAGATTGGGAAAACTTTAAAGGTCAACAGAAAGCCACAAAAAGAGCTATAAAGAAAAGTAAGATAGAACATGAGAAAAAACTAGCACAGAATATAAAGACAGATAGCAAAAGTTTCTATAAATATATAAAACGAAAAAGAGTGGCTAAAGTAAACGTTGGCCCTTTAGAGCATGAGAAGGGGAATTTAGTTATGGGATATGATGAAATGGCCGAGGCCTTGAACAGGTGTTTTGTATCGGCCTTCACAGTGGAGAACACTAATAACATGCCAGTAATTGACAAAGAGACGAAGGTAGGTGAGGACCTGGAAACAATCATTATTACGGAAGAGGTAGTGTTGGGCAAGCTAATGGAGCTAAGGATTGATAAGTCTCCTGGCCCTGATGGAATGCATCCTAGGGTACTAAAAGAGATGGCGGGAGAAATAGCAGGTGCGCTGGCGGTAATTTTCCAAAATTCGCTGGACTCTGGGGCAGTCCCAGCAGATTGGAAAACAGCAAATGTGACACCACTGTTTAAAAAGGGAAGTAGACAAAAGATGGGGAATTATAGACCGGTTAGCTTAACCTCTGTAGTGGGGAAGATGCTTGAGTCTATTATCAAGGAAGAAATAGCAAGGCATCTTGATAGAAATTGTCATGTTGGACAGACGCAGCATGGGTTCATGAAGGGCAGGTCATGCTTGACAAATCTTTTGGAATTCTATGAAGACATTACGAGCAAGGTGGACAATGGGGACCCAGTGGATGTGGTGTACCTAGATTTCCAAAAGGCCTTCGACAAGGTGCTGCACAAGAGGTTACTACATAAGATAAGGATGCATGGCGTTAAGGGTAAAGTATTAGCATGGATAGAGGATTGGTTGACTAACAGGAAGCAAAGAGTGGGGATAAATGAGTGCTATTCTAGCTGGCAGTCAGTGACTAGTGGTGTGCCTCAGGGATTGGTGTTGGGACCGCAATTATTTACAACTTATATAGATGATTTGGAGTTGGGGACCACGTGTAGGGTGTCAAAGTTTGCAGATGACACTAAGATGAGTGGCAGAGCAAAGTGTGCAGAGGACTGTGAAACTTTGCAGAGGAACATAGATACATTGAGTGAGTGGGCAAAGGTCTGGCAGATGGAATACAATGTAAATAAATGTGAAGTCATACATTTTGGTAGGAGTAATAGTAAAAAGGGTTATTACTTGAATGGTAAAAAGTTGCAGCATGCTGCTATGCAGAGGGACCTGGGTGTCCTTGTGCATGAATCACAGAAGGTAGGTCTGCAGGTACAACAAGTAATTAGGAAGGCAAATGGAATTTTGTCCTTCTTTGCTAAAGGGATTGAAATTCAAAGCAGAGAGGTTATGTTGCAGCTGTACAAAGTGCTGGTGAGGCCATACCTGGAGTACTGTGTGCAGTTTTGGTCTCCTTACTTGAGAAAGGATGTATTGGCACTGGAGGGGGTGCAAAGGAGGTTCACTAGGTTGATTCTGGAATTGAGGGGTTGGCTTATGAGGAGAGACTGAGTAGATTGGGATTATATTCATTGGAATTCAGAAGATTGAGGGGCGATCTTATAGAAACATATAAAATTATGAAGGGAATAGATAAAATAGAAGTAGAAAGGATGTTTCCACTGGCAGGTGAAGCTCGGACAAGAGGGCATAGCCTCAAGATTAGAGGGAGCAGATTTAGGACTGAATTGAGAAGGAATTTCTTCACCCAGAGGGTTGTTAATCTATGGAATTCCTTGCCCAGTGAAGTAGTTGACGCTACTTCAGTAAACGTTTTTAAAGAAAAGGTAGATTTTTTTTTGAACAATAAAGGAATTAAGGGTTACGGTGAGAATGCGGGTAAGTGGATCTGAGTCCACAAAGATCAGCCATGATCTTATTGAATGGCGGAGCAGGCTCGAAGGGCCAAACGGCCTACTCCTGCTCCTAGTTCTTATGTTCTATTTCTTTTTCCTGTTGATTTTGCTTTAAGATGTTAGCTTTTATTTGGCGTGCTTTTGAAACATTTGCTGCAGATCTGATTTTAGTTCTAAACTGAAGTTTGTTATTCCTTTTTCTACTTTTGTAGACGATTAAGGATATTAAACCAGCAACTTCGAGAGCGAGAAAGAGCTGAAAAAGACTCCAGACCTGTAGAAAATAACTTTGAAGGTATGTAGCTTATTTACTTATTTTTAAAAATTATGTTACAGCCTAAAGCTCACTTCTGAATCCATGCAATTATATAATCTAAAAGGAACCAAGTTTATTTCTTTAAAAAAACTTGCCTAGGAAATCACAGGTTAGTGCATTTTCTTTCTTGTGCTGAGTTCCTTTAGAAGTAAACTTAAAATAACAATAATGCAAACATATTTGCCTGTAAATTATGCTGATTACCACAATAGTTGAAATTTTCGATTCTCAGCAAAATCTCTAACTTCATATCGGTTGATCATTTGGATATGTAAAAATGCAGCTTTGTGAGCAGTGAGGCTGAATGCTTTGCTCTGAGGATTTTGTAAGTGAGAGAATTCAGTGCAGGGAGGGAGGAGGTGCCATTCTGCCTTTTCACAAAAAAGAAATGGCCCAAGAGGAGGGAGCTGGAGATGGCGAGACCCAATACTGAAGCCTGGAGGAATTAATTTAGGTGAGTAGGTAGGTGATTGAATTTAAGTTGGTTTTTCTCCCTCTAAACTAGGACAGTAGTTTGAACTATCCATGAAAGTGCAGCTGTTCTAGTCTTCTGCACACAGCAATCAGTGATCACAGGATTGACTTCCAGTTCTGGAAGTCACTGCTGCACATGAACCAACTGGTAAGAAAGTTAGAGGGGACGCTGTTGGTGAGACCATACCTGGAGTATTGTTCACAGCTTTGGTCTCCATCCCTAAGAAATGATATATTATCCATATAGGGAGTGTAGCAAAGGTTCACCAGACTAATTCCTGGGATGGACAGTCTGTCCTATGAGAAGAGATTAAGGAAACTGAATCTGTGTTCTCTATAGTTTTAAAAGAATGAGAAGTGATGTCATGGAAACATGCTGAATTCTTAAACAGCCAGACAGGGTAAATATACAAAGGATATGTCCCCTGGCTAGGACATGTGGAACCAGGGTACTCAGTTTTTCAATAAAGGGCAGACCATTTAGAAAAGAGAGAAGAAGGAATATCTTCACTTGGAGTGTAGTGCATCTTTGGAATTCTGTATCTCCAGAAGGCTGTCGAAGCTCAGTCATTGAGTTTATTCAAGAGGAAATTGATTCCTCAGTACTAATTAATGGATATGGGGATAGTACAGGAAAATGGTTTTAAGGTAGGTAATAACCATGATCTAGAATGATGAAGCGAGCCATAGTAGCCAAATAGTCCCCTCCTGTTAGGTTGTTGTATTTATTCTCAGAAGTGGGTGAATAGGGGAATTCCCAGAGGGTGGTGTGTACATGGAATGAACTGGCAGAGGTTGTTTGATGTGGGTACATTTGCAACTTTTAAAAGACACTTGGACAGGCACATAAATAGGAAAAATTTATAGGGATATGGGCCAAATGCAGGCAAATGGGTTTAGTTCAGTTTAGGATACCTGGTTGGCGTGGACAAGTTCAACGGAAGAGTCTGTTACTGTTCTGTGGACTCTATGACTGTATAAACACATGTTGATGTTTCTGATTTATTATTTATATGATATGAAAAGATGATGTATAAGTAAATATGTCAAGTTAATGCTGTTGTAGAAATGTGGCTAATTTGGGATTTGATATGAAGGGTTGCTGGATGTGCTTTCTTTCCATAAAGACTGAATTGTTGAAGAAAGATGTTCAAAAGTGAGGATACAGTGCAATATAAAACAAAATACCTGCATTTTGCTGTTCATTTAAATTGAATTTGATGCATATTTCATTTTGAGATTTTTACATATACCAAAGTTGTTTTGGGCATGAAAATGCTCTTTTACATTCATTGGGAAAAGAAATTGGGTGGACTGTGAAACGACTTAGTTTTATGTTGCTTATTTTGTTGTAATTTTTAAGACAAATTTCACAACTTTTGTCTTTGATTCTTTTTTTCTCTGTCGTGCACTCATTCTCACTCTGTCCCATTTTGCAGTGATTTCCTTGCAGTCCATGAATACAACATTGCAGGCCCAGCTGGCAGAGTCTGTGAAGGGGCTGGAGTCTTTGCAAAAGGAAAATGAAGAACTGCTGACTGTAATCGATAAACAGAGAGAGGAGAATAAACAGCTTCTCAAATTAGTGCAGGGGAAAGAACAGGATCTGTTTGAGAAGAGCCAACAATGTGAGATGGACACAACTCGAGTCAAAATTGGTAGGTCAGAATTTTTTTTAACTTTGATCAATGAATGTTACTAGGTTGAAGCATAAATTCTGACTGATTTACTGCTACTCCTACAGAAGTAGGTGAAGCCTTGACAAAAATGCGAAACATTCAGCTGAAGTTGGAAGCTTCCGAGAAGGAGAATCAAATTTTGGAAATAACACTTCATCAACGTGATGCAGAAGTGAACAGATTACGAGAACTAACCAGGTAATTTTTTTTTCTTGTGAAGTATTCAGCTCATTTTTTTTAACATCAATATTTAAAAAGTATTATAGTTTATAAGCACAAATGGGAATAGAAATTTGTTGCACCTTTTATTCTGTGGTGCTTGGGAAGTACGTTGGTACATTAATGTGTCTATGCATAGAACAATAAGAAGCAGTTTAATCTTCAACTCAGTGCTGGGACACAGTCTTTCTAGGGATTGAAGGGAGGCCAGCTCCTTGCTGCTAGTAGATTGAGAATGTTGGCCTTGCCTGTCCGAATGTGTAACTTCTGTGGTTTGCATTTTTGCCATGAAAGCTGTTTTTGGGTGATTTGTTTATGTTGCAATTTGTCCTATAAATGCTTCAGCCTCTGGTTTGTGACAGGACTTACCATAGTTGGGGATGAATATTTTGGCAGCTGCCAGTGAGAGATATGTGAGTGGATATTGAGGAGGATAGAAGTGCTTTAGTAATGTGTTGAAAGTCAACATGCAGAAATGCAACATTCACATCTGCTCCTGGGTAACTATCAGATTGGATTGAACTAAATAAAGGTAGAGTCTGTGAGAAGGATTCCAACATTTTGAAATCCAGTGACAATAATGGAGATGAAAAGTGACAGCAGTGAAAAGAATAAGCCATGCCTCAAACTAATTATACATGACCAGACGTCTCACATAAAAACAAATGCCCAATGTGTGTCATTAAAGTTTGTAGATTCCAAATTGGTTTAATCAGCCATCCTCTGACCTATTGAAGATAATTGTCCTTGCCTGAGAGATAGCATGCTTGGTTTAATGGAATTTCAAGGTTTGTTGTGGACTTTTGTCTCCAACCTACCATTTATCATGTTTGTTAAAGTAATTGCTAAAGTTACTTAATTATCATTCCTGGTTTATGATGTTCTAGTAATTTCCTGATAGGTGATGATCAGAGGTCTAAAGCAGAACAGAATCCATTCTTCCGGCTCGTAAGCATCCCACTATTTTTCTGTTATCCTTAGAAAATGTGTTACTCCAAGACTAGTTATGGACAATACAGTTCAATTTGATTATTAACTCTAACTTTCTAACATGTTTAATTGTGCGTAGGATCATATGGCTTCAGGGAGTGCTGTGGAGTGAAGGATTGTAATCCAGCCTTTGTGGCCGAGTTGGCCTTGTCTGGTAATCCTTTCTCTCGTGATCAGCATCTGAATCTATTTGAAGTGTTTCTGGAAATTCTATGCTGTGCCAGATGAATGAGAGTGTTAACAAGCCCAAACAGATCCTCTTTGGTATAATTTTCCCTCCAAGATGAAGGTAGTGACAAAAGGTTGTTTATGTACCATCAATCTTTTGTAAAATTCTAATAGACGTTGATCACAGTCTTTGCCTTTTTTTTAAATTTGGCTTTTCCACCACAATTAATGAAGTTGGGCAATTGGAATTGACCCTCCTAATATTTCTAGGCAATGTAAAATATTGTGTTGCTCCCCTAACCCGCCAGTCGAGATGAACAGCAGTGTCTTTTAGTTGTACAACATTGTATGTTATAAAACATTGAAGTGCTTCAAGATGAAAATTAGTTTTAAACAGCGATGAAACGATGACTAAGTGGTCACATTATTTGATCTAGCAAGGTTAGAGAAGTTTTGGGAGGATCTTATGAGTGTGGGAAATAGGCAGTTGAAGACTCTTACCAACATTGCGGCAGGAAAAAGAAAGATTGAAATTTAATTGGAGCTGCCTGTGGTCTTCAATTGAACACATTTTCAAATTTATACAGACTTTTGACCAGTGTTAGCACCCAGTAAAGTAGCGTCACCATTTTAAAATTCTGATTCTAGTTTTCAAAGCTTGGCATATCTTCACCTCTTCCAAGCTCTGCAATCGCCTCTAGCCCTTCCAAGGTCTTTGTGCTCCTCTATTTCCACCTTCTTGAACATCCCCCATTTTGATCACTAGTGCCAGTTAGCCTCCAGCTGCCTGAGCTCTTGACTTTACTCCCTAAATCTCTCCACCTTACTTTCTTCCTTTTTCAAAATGCTGTAATTACTTGACCTAATGGGCTAGATTTTCGCGGTTACATCCAAGTTGACAGGGCTCCAATCCTAGTGCTAGTAAGAACTGCCGATGCTGGAATCAGAGATAACACAGTGTGGAGCTAGAGGAACAGAGCAGGTCAGGCAGCATCAAAGGAGCAGGAAAGCTGACATTTTGGGTCGCGACCCTTCTTCAGAAATGTTCCACACTGTTATCTCCAATCCTAGTGCTCCCAGTTTTCACAAGCAAGGGAGAAGTGAATGGGCTGTGAGTCTATGCTCTGTATTTTCGATCTGGCTGTGACATTTTTAGCAACTCCTAGCTCTCTCACCCCGATTTTTTTCATGGAGACTGCCCTCTCAATCCATAGCACCTTTTAAAGAGAAGTTGTGAAGCAAAGCATTGAATGCAGGAATCTTCTTACCTATGTCACCCACCAATCCTCAACAGCCCTTCGTACTCCCCATGACATCTTGAAGCACTTGCTCAGCCATTCAACAAATTTCTCTTATCTTTCACACAATGAGTGTTGCTGGCAAAGGCAATGTTTGTTGCCTTTCCCTAATTGACCTTGCACTGAGTGGCCATTTCAGAGGGCAGTTATAAGGACTGATTTATATTTTTAAAATCTTATAATGTGAAGAAGCCATTTTAAAAACACAATTTGAAACGGTGGCTCAGTTTTAAAAGCAAGTAATCTGATACCTATGGCAGGCATTGTAAACAACTGTTTGAACAAACAGTAATTAGAATTTCAGATTGCAGGCATTGTGAAGCTGAGGGTGTGTCCTGATGCAATTTTTGTTGGCAACGAGTGGGAGATAAATTTTCTCCCACCCCAGAAACTACCTATTCTCTGCTCAAAAACTTAGTTTAAACCTGAAGTAAACTCGTTTCCTTTTGTGACTTCTGATTTGATTAAATAAGTTCCATATTCCAAGTGCATCTGTACTACTTACAAACCTGGCCAACAAGGAATCTAGCTAGCCGAAGAAGAATCATCACAACATTAGAACTAGGAAGCAAAGACCACTGCATTCACTTTCCAGTGTTTCTATATTCTGTATTTGTGTGTCCATGTAAAGAGGTGTTTATAAGCCTATTTGGGTTTTAATTAGAGATCGTAGGAACTGCAGACGCTGGAGAATCTGAGATAACAAGGTGCAGAGCTAGATGAACACAGCAGGCCAAGCAGGTGTAGAGCTAGATGAACACAGCAGGTCAAGCAGCATCAGAGGAGCAGGAAAGCTGACATAGACCGGAAACGTCAGCTTTCCTGCTCCTCTGCTGCATGGCCTGCTGTGTTCACCCGGCTCTACACCTTGTTATCTTGGGTTTTAATTAGTTGTGTTAAGTGGTAACGGTTTATATCTGTGTACTTGAAATTTTCTGGAAATATAGTTGGGTTTGATTTACAGCACGCTATCCCAATGAGTCGTAACACAGTTAAAAGTCACCAGTATTTACTATGTGTCTGGAGTCACATGTAGGCCAGACTGCATAAGGATGGTTGATTATATAAACTTCACCTCTAGGTACTAGCAAGATGGCACAGGGTAAGTCGCTCTGTTTGGAACTCCACTCTTCACCAGTTCCCTTTCCTTTCTTTTTCTCCTCTTCTCTCTCCTCTCTGCAGTAATTCTACTCCACCCCCTGTAACGTGATGTTCTATGGCGATTTTCTATAGTGCAAGGTCACACAAGAACACAACTATCGCGTTATAGGCGAGACACCTGTATGAAGAGAGGCTGGGTCAGTTAGGATTATCTCTGCTAGTATTTAAAACAATGGGGAGGAGGAAAATCTGCTAGAAACTTGTAAAATTCTAACAGGACTAGATCGGGTAAATGCAAGAAGGATCTTCCTGATGGTCAGGAATCCATGGCCAGGAGTTATAGTCTAAGGATATGGGGTAGGCCATTTAGAATTGATGTGAAATTTCTTCACCTAGAGAGGGTTGACCCTGTGGAATACTCTGTCACAGGAAGTGATTGAGGTCAAAACGTTGAATATTTTCCATAACGAGTTGGATATAGTCCTTGGGGCTAAAGAGAATGAAAGGGTATGTGAAGAAAGTGGGAACAAGATACTGAGTAGAATGGTCAGCTGTGATCATATTGAATGGCAGATCATGCTCAAAGGGCTGAACAGCCTACTTGTTGTTCCATTTTCAGTGTTTCTATGTTGTTTTCCCTGACCTTGATATTTCTTGTAAGTTGTCCTGATGAGTTCAAGACAAATACCTTTGATTAAAATGTATTTTTTCCAATAGTTCTTGGTTTATTTCGTATGCCTGGCAAAAAGCATTTCAAAATTTCAAATCTCCTCCAGAAAGCAGTAATTTTTCCTCAATTGTCTCTTGTTTCTTATTCCACAATAGTCTTGTCATCCTGGATTTCTAATTGCCAGTTTTCCTGTTATATTTTATTGTAATCTCTGTACTCTTTCAAAAAATAATACACTTCCATATAGAGGAGTGATGTAGTTGGTTTAAATCCCAACTTTTAGTTCTAATTTGCTTAAACAGACCTTTTTTTTTGTTTTGATATTATGGTTGGAAAAGATAATTATTTGAGGGAAGCAGGGTTGCAACTCCTTTATAGAATAACTTTGACCACTAGGTGGCCCTCATTGACATATGATTAGATGAGAAATGCATTCAGATAGTATAATTTTTGAAAAGGAGTATTACAGTTATATTATTTGCTAATTTAATAATTACAGTTATATCTTAAATGCAGGATACAAGAAAGTATTAACATGCATTTACACCGAACGTTGACCAAACAACAGTCTAAATGTATTACGCTGTGGATTCATTAGTTCCATATTGCTGGGAGAGCTATGCATAGTGCAAGGGTTTTGTGACTACTCTTGAGCAAGGAGGCCCGGTTTCAAAGTCCCAGCTTTTCTAGAAATGTGTAATAATGTCTCTGAACAGGTTGACATAGGAGATATCTAGATCAGTAATCCAGATCTGCAGAGTAAGTTCCTTCCCCAACTAGGTTTAACTTTCTTGAGAAAATCAGGAGGGTTATTTTTTTTTTCAAAACCAAGTGCAAGATATTTCAAGACATCATATTTTCTTGAATAATGATCATTTTTCTTATTTCTGTAGATTGAGAATAACTGACAGATTATTTTAAAAGCTTCTAAAAAACATTTTCTTTCAAAGTTATTCCCTGTTCTATCATCTGAGCCCTGGACACCCTTGCAGGGATTTACAGACATCTTCAAATGCATCCTCATTGAATGTCCAAAGTGTTCTGTTCACTGACTCCATTTTGGCTTAATTTAAAATTCCTTAGATATGAAACATAAGATTCTCCATCACTCACATGCCAATATTTATGTTTTGGCAATAAGCAACAAGTAACATTGCCAAATGTTAGGCAATGAATACTTCTAAAATGAGAGCACCTGATCATTTCTCCTTAGATTGTGGCTGATCTGATGATCCTGAACTTCCACTTTCCTGTCTTTTCCCTCTAACCCTTTTTGTTTCCCTTGCTGATTAAAAATTTGTCTATTCAGCCTTGACCTTACCTAATTAACCAGCTGTGACAGCCCTCTGGGGTATTCAGTTCCCTCCTCTGAAGAAATTCCTCCTCATCTCTGTCTTAAATTTGTGACCCTTTTTTCCTAAACTTATGCCTCTTGGTCCTTAATTCTCCCACAAGGAGAAGCAACCTTTGTGCATGCACACTGTCAAGATTTTTGGAACGTTTTCAAATAAGGTCACCTTGTTCTTCTAAGTTCCAAGGAGTACAGGTCCAACCAACTCAACCTCTCCTCAAAACACTGTCCCTACATACCTAGTATTAGCCTAGTAAACCTTCTCTGGACTTCCTCCAATGCTCCTTAGGTAAGGAGCCCAGAACTGTTCAGTAATTCAGCTATGGTCTGACTAGTGCCTTATATTTTAGCAAAACCTCCCTACTTTTGTACTGCATTCCCTTCGAAATAAAAGTGAGCATTCCATTTGCCTTCCCTATTACCCCACTGAAATAAGATTCTAATTTTTTGTGATTCATGCACAAGAACTCCAAATTCCCCTGTGCTGTAGTTTTCTACAGTCTTTCTCCGTTTAAATAATATTCAGCTCCCGTGTTCTTCCTGTTGATGTGTATAACTTGATAAGGGCAGCACGATGGCTCAATGGTTAGCACTGCTGCCTCACAACGCCAGGAACCCAGGTTCAATTCTGCCATTGGGCAAATGTCTGTGTGAAATTTGCACATTCTCTGTGTCTGCATGAGTTTCCTCTGGGTGCTCCACTTTCCTCCCATAGTCCAAAGATGTGCAGGTTCAGTGCACTGGCCGTGCTAAATTTCCTGTAGTGTTCAGGGATGTGTAGATTAGGTGGGTTATAGGGAATGGGGCTGGTTGGGACATCTGAGGATCTGTGTGGACTTGTTGGGCCAAAGGGCCTATTTCCATACTGTAGGGAATCTGTGATAATTCTATGATGATTTTCCAGCATTATATTCCATCTGCCATGTTTTTACCCACTCAACCTATTTATATCCTACTGCAGACTGTTTGTTTGTCTCATCTTCACCAGTTGCCTTGCCACCAATTCTTGTGTCATCCACAAACTTGGTGACAGTACATTGATAACTTGGATGAGGGAAAACTAATATATACTGTAAAAAATTGCAGTCCAAACACTGATCCCGATGGCACTCCAGGTTGTCATCCAACTGCACGCCCTCCCTCCCTCCCAACTCTTTGTCTCCTATTAGTTAGTCAATCCTGTATCTATGCTAATACTATCTCCAACACCATAGGCTTTTATCATAATAATGTGGGCTACCTTATCCAGTGACTTATGAAATATGAAAATCCAAATATATTGCTTCCCCTGCTTCCCCTTTATCTAACTTTCTTGTTACTTCCTCTAAGAATTCTGTTAAATTTTACAGGTATGACATGCCTATCATGAAGCCATGCTTCATGACTCAGCTGATCATGTGTATTTCTAAATGTTGTAATAGTCCCTCATATTTTCTTGTAAACATTAAGCGAGCAGACTAACCTGTTTCTTGCCCCCTTTTCTTTTTAAACAAAGTTGTTTAATTGACAGTTTTCTAACCTCTGGGAGATTTCCAGAATCTAAGGATTCCTGGAAGATTACTACCACTGCACCCGCTATCTCTGTAGCTGCTTGCTTTAATATCCAAGGGAGTTAGATATTGGTGTTGACTAAGAAAGGAGTTTGGCAGCAAAGACGGTTGAGGAACAATAGCAGGTGCTTTAGAAAACAGTTCATGGCCCACAGCAATGATATATTCCAGTGAGGAAGAAGAATCCTCAGAAGGAAATGCACCAACCATGGTTAGCCAAAGAAATTAAGGATGGCTTCAAATTGAAAGAAAAAGCGTACACTAACCATTGCCATGTTGTAAGCCAGAGAATTGTGAAAGTTATAAAAACAATCAAATGATGACCAAAAAAAGGAAAAAAAATAAATGTTGAAGGCAAACTTGCAATTAATATCAAGCTTGACAGCAAGAACTTGTTTAAATGCATAAAAAAGGAAGAGAAAACCAAAGTGAACATCGAGAATGAGGTTTGGGAAATAATAATGCAGAACCATAAAAGGCAGTGGAATTGAATAAATATTTTGCATCAGTCTTCAGCGTAGAAAACACCCATAACATTCCAAAAATTTCTAATTAATAAAAGGGCAAAAAGAGAAGAGGAAATATATTACTGCTATCACTGGAGAAAATGTACTAGAGAAGTTAATGGGGCTGAAGATCGATTAAATTCCTTGACCAGTGGGATGCATTATAGGATTTTAAAGGAAGTAGCTCCAGAGATGATGGATGACAACAAATGGATCCCTCCCTTTCCTCTCCCAAGTTCTTCCCCAGCTCCCACTCAAAGCTGCAGGGTACGGTATCCCTAATTGTAATGTTCCCTACCATAAGAGCATTCCTATTTCATCCCCTCACTTGAATGTGCTCCCCATACCAAGGTACTGTGTTCATCCTTCCCCACAGTCCCCACTCTTGTTCTCACAGCTTGCAGGAACCTCATAACTATTGGACAATTGCAAAGGTTAAGGCTTCTCAGTTTTAACCCTGTGTCCTCATATCTGCTTCATCTGCAGTCGCACCTTCTTGTTCCTAATCACAGACCAATTTTGAATTAACTATTTTGAGTGGTGTGACTGCCCTGTGGAGTAAAATGTCCAGGTAACTTGCCCCTTCCCTGATGTGTCGCAATGTCTGCAGTTCAGACTCCAGCTCCTCATTTCAGATCCAAAGTTCCTTGAGCTGCAAACACTTTAGAGTGGTGTCCAGTAGCTTCCACATGTTGCAGCAACAGCACATTACCTGTTATCTATTATCATTTTGATTTAACTTAATTATTTGAGATACACTTCACTATAAAGAGCAGGGAAATGATATTTTGTTTTTATCAGCTAAAAAGAAAATAATCAGTCTAATAATTTGACAGTTCTTTATCAGATAAGAAGAAAAACACAGGAAACCTAAACTGAAGACCTTACCTTTAAAGACTAGATGTATTCACCAAGATGCTGTAATTTGTGGTGTCACTCCACTGCTGATCTCAATGCAGGTTGACCTCTTGATCTACACCTTTTATCCTCTCCCACTCACCTCTTACTCTGTACAGATTGCTTCTTGCAATAAACCTTAGTTAAAGCACCTTTGTGAACATCTGCACCAAGTTTCCACTTTGAACCAAATTTCCAGTAGTGTAATCAATCATACACTTGTCCTTCATCTTACTCTGCTGTAGTCTTGTTCATAGTTTTGACTATCACATAGCCCACATGATACTGGATCACAAAGCCAAGAATAGCTAATAAGCCAGGAATTCATATTTACCTGATCTTAGGGTGGCATGGTTAGCACTGCTGCCTCATGGCACCAGGGTCCCAGGTCCGATTCCACCCTTTGGCGACTGTCTCTGTGGAGTTTGCATGTTCTCCCTGTGTCCACTGGGTGCTCTGGTTTCCTCCCACATTCCAAAGATGTGCAGTCTAGGTGGATTGGGCATGCTGAATTGCACAAAGTGTTCAGTTATATGTAGATTAGGTGTGTTAGCCGTGGGAAATGCAGGGTTACAGGGAAATGTCTGGGTGGGATGCTCTTCAGAGGGTCACTGTGGACTCGTTGGCCCCAAGGGCCTGTTTTCACACTGTAGGGATTCTAAGATTCTAATTTCTGTCTCTGATTCATTGTCAAGAACGTACAGAGGATTCCTCTTCCAAAACCACCTTGCTTCATTCAGTCCAAATACGCAAGGTGCTCACATTGAAATTGCGGACCTGGCAATCTTTTTGTGCCAACTGCTGTACTACTGGTGTGTTAGTTTTGTGTTTGGAGGGAAATGTCAAGTATTTTCATCAACTGATTATATTGCTTGGTTTGTTTTAACAGAAAACTGCAAGGTAGCATGGCAAGACTCCTTTCAGATCTTAGCACAGATTGCATGAAAACCAAACCCACGTCCAGACTGACTAGAAACCTCCTACATGAATATGAAAAACAACTACAGGATGTTCCAGGTTTGAGTTCTGTGACAGCTTATCTTAAAAATCTGGATAATAATGCTGAATACAACACTCCAACTTTATCATTTTGTAAAGTTCCTGAATCTGAATCTTTAGCCACGCGAGATCCCCCTTACTTAACATCTGCAAACACAGGAACGTGCCAAAGTAATGTTCTGTCAGCAAAGTCTTCACCCAGCATCTTTTCCAGGTTTGACGCACAGACTGAATGCCATATAACTAGAGGAAGTGAGAACTCTACTCTAGATGAAACCACATATCTTCCGCTAGTTGGCAATACCACCAAGCAAGAAAATAAATCAGTTGAAAGGAGGAAATGTATACCATTACATTTGAACAGCGGATCAAAGAAATTGCACTATGACAATGGAAGTTCATGTAATGGAGTGGTAGTAGTGCCATGTATCCTGGATGACTTACAAAAACCAGAAAAGCCTGTTCCTGAAGAAATACCTGTTACTCAAAATTTAAAAGAGAAGACTCTGGTAAATGATTGTGCATCAAGAATGGCAGAGACAGAAAATAAGCAGATTCAGTTAACGCATTTGGACATAAATAGTGTTAATTCTCCACACACTACTACAGATCTTCCAAAATCCAATTTAAATCCATGTACACTTCATTCAGATCAGAGAAACAGGACACTGTTGTATAAAGACAAGTTTTCAGCAGTAGACTCAAGCTTCTCTAGTACTGATTATAAATCTATAAAATCAGGCTGGAGTATTTCATCTATTTCTTCATTTAATTCTCGTGATGAACAAGACTTCAAGAATAGTCTGGCAGCCCTAGATGCTAACATTGCAAGACTGCAAAAGAGCTTGCAGGCGGATCTTGAGATAAATCGATGTCAAAATATTTAATGATAAACTTGACTTTTATCTGTAGATTGTGTATTCTTTGATTTTCAACATATGATATGATTTAATGGAATGTTATTTTTAATGCTGTGCACTGAATTTTACATTTAGGTAAGTTTTTTTTTTTTCTTGTTTTATAATCATGTCTTTTTTTTCCACTTATTAGATTTTAATTTCAGAAAATAGATTCTCATGCGTCTTTACTAGTTTATTTTCATTTTAGAACCAAATGAAACTTCATTTGGGTGAAATTCCTTCAATTTGTACTTGCATTTCACAAATCATAAAGATCAGGTCTCTTTCAGAGGAAATTACATCTTGTACAGATTTTGGTTTTGCCACCATCTGTGTACAGGCCTTAGTCACTTCTGTCAAAGATATAGAATACTTTACTTTCTAAGCCTTTTGAAGCACAACAGCTTATCAGTCCTCAAATTGATGTCCTGCAGATGTCAGGAAATAATCTAAAGCATCTGTGCATGGTCTGAATTTTCAATAAACTTCATCAGACTTGCCTTAATAAACATCAGACTTGCCTTACATGGGTGCTTCCAATGCAGTCCAGCATGGCACCATTTTAATTATCCTCTGGTTAACTTGGATATGTTATGATTGCTAATGCTTAAATTAAAATCCACCTGGAAATGTAACAGTTACTACTTTTGAGGGATTGACTGATGCTGTACATTAGACACTGGAGACACAATCTTCTCCTGAAGATGGTCAGTTAGTGGGATGGAAAATTAATTAGATATGTTATGGCATACCCAAACTCCACTACCTTCCCTCCTCAACCCAAGAATGAGTCCTAGCTGGGAAAGCTTAGGGTCAACCTTCCTGAACCCTGCTTCACTGATTTGCCAGTAGCTCTCATTGGGTGGATCTTCTGGTCCCATGGTCTTGCTAAGCAAGCAGTGGGAAGGCCATAACTTGGCCTTCCCCAAGAAGCATGATTCAGCAGGCCTGCCCTGGAAGAGGCAACACCAGCATCTTGGTTTTAAAAAAAAAGGGGGGGTCACCCATTTTAAAACAGATGGGAAAACATTTTTTTCTGAAAGACTTGAGAGTCTTTGGAATTCTCTTCTTTGAAAGGCACTGTATGCAGAATATTTAAATATTCTTAAGGCAGAGGTAGGTGGCTAGGCAGCCTTAATTCAGGTTTTAATGGAGATAAAGCCAAAGTTGATCCTAACCACTATTTTTGGAGCTAGTTTGTTGTATAGTCATGTATCATGACTCCCAGTGCTCCTCATCCACCAGCAGAAATTCTGTATAGAAGATTACAAACAATAAAAGCTAACTTAAAAACATCCAATCTGGTCATTTATGCTGACTACTGAAAGCAATCAAAACAATTTCCAGGTTACAACTATAGCCCTGAGGCATATCAACCAATCTTCCCCACCAACATTTATATTCTTTAATATTTGCTTAATTCGGGAGCTCATCCAGGTCTCTTTTAGAACCTTAATAGATGAGCTGAACAGTTTTCAAAAGTCATTGCCCTTTTGCAGGAGATGAAAGTAAAACCTCCTCATATGTACCCTTATTCCATGTTTGCATAACAATTCTCTTCATTCTCTTTCTTTATTTATCTTGCTCTACCTTCCTTGGTATATAGATTTCTATCTCTCTGGGTATCTCTATATCCTAATTATTTTGCCTAATCCTTTCATTATTTCAAATGACTCAGTCAAATCTCCCTGATGTCAAATAAAAGCAAAATACTGCAGATGCTGGAACCTGAATTAAGAATAGAAAATGCTGGAGAAACTCAGCAGATCTGTCATCTGTAGAAAGAGAAAGAGTTAATATGATATAACTTCTTCAGAGCCGAAAGGGTCTGGAATATTGTGGTTTTTATGCTGTTGACAGAGGAGGAAGAGGAATGCGTGGAACAGATGGTAAGGGTGTCCAGATAAAAGACAAAGAGTGCTAAATAAAAACCGAAAGAAGTGCAGATGCTGTAAATCAGGAACAAAAACATTGCTGGAAAAGCTCAGCACATCTGGCAGCATCTGTGAAGAAAAAGTCCAGAGTTAGCATTTCGGTCCAGTGACCCTTCCTCAGAGATTGCTAATGGTTGTGTGTGAGAGAGATGCAAAATGGGTGTAAATGATAGCTGTGAAAGTGAGAAAGTGGCTTTGCTCTGAGAACAGCAAACCCAACAAAATGCAAACAAGACACATGGGTGGAGAGGTTATGTTCTGAAGATTGATTTCAACCATGTTGTGTCTGAGAGGCTGTTGTTCATCCATTTTGGGTTGCATTTAGAGTCATTGAGATGTACAGCATGGAAATAGACCTTTTAGTCCAACTCGTCCACGTTGACCAGATATCCTAAATTAATCTAGTCCCGTTTGCCAGCATTTGGTCCATATCCCTCTAAACCCTTCCTATTCATATACCCATCCAGACGTCTTTTAAATTTTGTAATTATACCTGCATCCACCACTTCCTCTGGCAGTTCCTTGCACATATGCACCACCCTCTGTGTGAAAAGGTTGCCCCTTTTGTCCCTTTTTAAATCTTTCCTCTCTCATCTTTAAATCTATGCCCTCTAGTTTTGGACTCCCAGATCCTGGGGAAAAGATCTTGACTATTCATCCTAACCATGCCCTTCATAATTTTATAAACTTCTATAAGGTCACCCCCCAGCCTCTCCCTATAGCTCAAACCCTCCATCCTTGTACAACATCCTTGTAAACCTTTTCTGAACCCTTTCAAGTTTCATAACATCTTTCCTATAGCAGGGAGACAGGAATTAAATGCAGTATTCCAAAAGTGGCCTAACCAATGTTGTGTACAACCACAACATGAACTCTCAACTCCAATACTCAGTGCACTGACCAATGAAGGCAAATGTACCAAGCGCCTCTTCACTATCCTGTCTACCCGTGACTCTACTTGCAAGGAACTATGGACCTGCACGCCAAGGTCTCTTTGTTTGGCAACACTCCCTACCTTACCATTATATGCATAAGTCCTGCCCTGATTTGCCAAAATGCATCACATCTCATTTATCTAAATTAAACTCCAACTGTCACTCCTCGGTCCATCTGATCAAGGTCCCATTGTGTTCTGAGGTAATCTTCTTCGCTGTCCACTACACCACCAATTTCGGTGTCATCTGCAAACTTACTAACCACTCCTCCTGTATTCACATCTAAATCATTTATAAAAATGACAAAAAGCACTTGCGGCACAGCGCTGGTCACAGGCCTCCAGTCCAAAGAGCAACCTTCCACCACCACCCTCTGTCTCCTTCCTTCAAGCCAGTTATGTATCCAAATGGCTTGTTCTCCCTGTATTCCATGTGATCTAATATTGCTAACCAGTCTACCCTGTGGATCGTTGTTGAAGTTCTTCCTGAAATCCATAGATCATGTCCACCCCACTTCATTCCATTGAACAAGCCCAAGACAGTTGTCAGACTTGCTCGCCACGCCGGTGTTTTTGATTGCAGACATTTCATCACCCTGCTCGGTAACATCGTCAGTGTGCCTCCGGTGAAGCATTGGCATTCTGTCCTGCTGTTACTTATATGCCTCGGTTTGCTGGAGTGGTTGGCATCACTTCCGGTTCTGTTTTTCAGTAGATTTTGTATCGGGTCCAGTTCAATTTTGTGTATTACATTACATACAAAATACCAAGCAAGGACTGAGAAATTTTACTTGGGTCAAACTGGGAGAAAACTGACAATAAGGATACAGCAACATCAACTAGCCGCCAAGAGACACAACCAGTTCTCACTGGTCTCAATACACAAGGACAAAGAAGGACACAAATTCTACTGGGCCAACACATCCATAATAGCCCAAGCCAAACAGAGACATGCCAGGGAATTCTTGGAGGCCTGGTATTCCAACCGGAACTCCATCAACAAACACATTGAACTGGACCCGATGTACAAACCACTGATAAACAGAACTGGAAGTGATGCCAACCACCCCAGCAAACCGAGGCATATAAATAACAAGCGGGACAGAACACCAACCTTCACTGGAGGCGCACTGATGATGTTACCTAGCAGGGGGATGAAACATCTGCAATCAAAGACAGCGGCTTGGCGAGCAAGTCTACAACCTCATTCACAACCCGAGCTACAAATCTTCTCAAAAACTTCAAACTATCTTTTTCTATAAATTCTAATAACTGATTCTCTATTGAGGTGATTAGATGGATCCTCAGTAATGATCCCTTTAGCAACTACTCTATGTTAAAATGAATAGGTCTGTAGTTTCAGCTCTGGTTTGTTACCCATTTTGAATATTCATACATCATTAGCCTCCCTCAAGACCCTGGGTTGTAATCTATGATTGTAGCAAATGTTCAATATATAATTGAGCCGCTCATTTAGCAGTTGTCCAATTTGATTATTTTCCTGGTGATTATTTGCATATATTTTCCTTGCAAACTTAGTGACAACTGTACATTTATATTAACTAGCAACTTACTTATCTACTGGAATAAAAACTGATATAAAGTAGTAATTTTAGATCTCTACGTGGCCTGGAAGATCACTTAAATCTCTTCTGAGGAATTTGTTGGAAGCACAATAATAGAATACACTTCTGGTTCAGATAATGGAAGGTAAAAGCCATGGAGTGTTTAATCATTTATGATCCAAGTGGATACTATGACAATACAAGGCTTGTTAGATCATTTTTTTTTTAGTTTTAGTGATTTGGCATCTCAATGAAAAATAAGCCGATAACTGCCTCAGATTTTGGGTTTAACAATAAAACAGTTGTTTATTATGCAAGAAATTACGACAAAACAGAATAAGCCTAACTGTCTACATATCATATTTAAAGATTTTGAAGCATGTGATAAAAATATAATCCCCTTAATCTTAAAGTTTGCATTTACAATACTCACATCAGAGAGAATTCCCTTCTCTATAACCCCAGTAGGACTTAATTTAAGCTTTTGGTAACTTCACCTCCCAGCTGTCCAACTGTCTGTCTTGAGAATCTGATCATTTCTTCCTGGAACCTTCATATAATTGAGTTTAAACTTTCTTAGCCTCAAATAATCTTTTCAGGGTTTTAACCATTTATGTCTGGTCTGGAACTTATGCTAAACTTTACACTGAGTAACCTATTTTTAACAGATCTAAATTATTTTCTCCTTTTATAAGCAATAGATTTACACAAAACAAAAACTTTTTAAAAAATTATTTTCCCAATCCAAAAAAAACTTTCATTTTTAAAACTGGAATCTAATGTGCAATCCTTATTCCACTCATGCAAAAACTGAAAATCTAAATTGAAAAAGAAAAATTATTAAAATAAATATGAATCATACCACATATCACAGAAGGAACATGTGAATGCTGAGCATAGTGGAAAGATAGTCTGAGGGTACTTTCTGATTCCTATCTGCCTTACTAATTATTACCGTAACTTAACTGTAAACAGCAGTGATAGCAGCATTTCAAAACCACACTTGTTACCAGAAAGGTATCTCCAGGCAATTTAATAGAGAGAACAACAAATGGACACCAAGCTGACAGAAAGGACAGATGTAGGATGTTTCAAAATTACTAGAAAATCTTAAGAAACTTCTGAAGATTGAAGGGATGGGATTTAAGAAAAATGCTCCAGAAGGCATAGAAATGTTGACTTAAACTGAAGTTGGAAGAATGGTATCAGAAGAGCAGACTGTTCTCAGAATACAAAGGAGTTGAACAGAAACATGCAGCTGAAGCTTCATATAGGATAGTCTGAGAATAACAAAGGTCCCGGCAAAAACTGGGGTGATGGATGTGTGGAGCTTCAAGCTGGTAAAGACATAATTAGGAGCATTTGAATTTAATAAAATTTATGGATGAGAGGAAGCAGAAGAACATTACAGAAGCAGAAAAAAAACATGAATTATGGTATCCTAGCAGTGGAGGAATGGTGGAAATGGATGCAGGCAATATTTATGTTGTGGAAGAAGATAGCCTTTATGTCAGAACAAATGGAAAAACAAGGGTACATTCCAAATCATACATTACACTAGGGCTCCAAGTTACTAAACTGCCTGAAATACAATCGGAGAAGTTGAAGTAGTTCAAAGCCTGTCCACCACTTGTTGGCACATCTCAAAAAGGTGATGGAATACTCTTCATTTGTCTGGTTGCGTGCAGTTCTAAAGCACTCGAGAAACTTGAAACATCCAGACAAAGCAACCCACTCGATCGGCTCCACTGCTTAGCAGCAGTAACATGTATCATCTACAAGATGCATTGCAGAAATTCACTTGGGCTCCTTAGACAGCACCCTCCAAACCTGATGACCACTAGAACCACTATTGCGAACAACAGGTATATGGCCAACACCACCTGCAAGTTCTCTTTCAAGCCACTCACCAACTTGGCTTGGAAATATATTGCCATT